ACGGCTATCCCTCGTGCCGACATTCATCTTGCAGTCTTCTTCGTCGTCTGAGTCGAGCATGTAGTCACCAGGAAAGCCTCTTAGTCCACTTTCCAGCATCCGGAAAGTTTCTGAGTATGCCTTCGAGGGAACAGCATCCGGAGGAATGATGAGTGAAGCGATATCCATCTTAATTGACCTGGGATAGGGGATATCTCTTGGATCTTTAACGAACCAGCTGGGGTCCTGCGCAGCATCGGGTTTCCTTGTATGATGTGTGCCTAGGTCTGAAAACCTCTCATCCAGAATCTTGCGTAGCGCGCGCTCAACCTGCTCATCTGTGGGTCCCTGTACGGCTTGTCTCTGTTCCAGTAGAAGGACGCGTTCGTGCAGCTTCCGAAAGCACAGTTCTGTTCTGTGCATGAACTCATGGCTACAGTAATAAGCATGAATGAATGAACAGAATGAAAGAATTGCTGTGCTTACTACCATGCTGCAATCTGATCGAAAGATTGATTGATCTTCTGCACCTGGAATGTAAACGACATAATTGAGTCGTATGAGAGACGTCAAAGAGTGACTGGGGATATGGGATTGGAAAATGCCCTGCGAGATTCCGCCAGTTGAGTGAAAGTGCTTGAGAGTGGAAAGCTACGTGTATGCAAAGACGAAGATGCGGTGGGGTGTGGGAAGCGAGAATTGGCAACGCTGATATACGTGTATGATCCTTAAAGGCGTGAATCCCAGGGAGGCGTTTCAAGTGGCACCAACAAGCCCGACTTCTGATATGCAGTTAGGTGGGTAGCGCGGCAGGGCCCTCGGATGGCGGGAGACTTTAATGGGCCGTCTGGCCGGTGGGGATTACAAGGTGGTCATCCAATCAAAGCTACGCGAGTATGCAGCCCTCTGGAGTCCCTCGAATTGGTGTGTATCCGGGCTATACATGTCCGATCAAGCAAGAAGTCATTCGAAAAAGGGAATGGCGAACAATACTGTCTAATAGAGGTTATTTAGTAGTAAGTGCGAAAACAGGCAACGCAAGATGTAACCTTGGGAGAACTGATCTTCCCCTTTGCGATGGATGCAATTGCGCAAGTCTCAGAGATACAGGGGCTTGTGCAATGACACCGCCCCCATCGACATGATCGACAATGCTAGCGACAAAGGTACAGGTCGATGTCGAGTGGCTTGCCTGTCTGGGCGTGCAGGGTTCCCAGATATTGTTGCCGACCCATTTGATCACAGCTCGTGGTCGTCTCACCGCGAAACAAGAAAGAGCACGCGGGGGCGGGTTTCTATCCCAGCGGTGGTGCATGCCATGCATGCCATCAGGTCAATCCGGTTATCGCCGAGCCTTTAGGCCAAGGCTCTCGCACGTGGTTTCCTTGCACACGGTCTTTGCGTCGCTCTATGTGGTGTTCGCCAACTCCTTCAACAGAGCTTCAAGTGAAGAAAAGCCGTTGCCGATCGAGGTTTGTGACATGATGATGTCTTTATCCGTCGTCGGCCTTGGGATGCTTGCAAATTGCGCGTCTGGTTCGTGACCGTGGCGCCAGTCTCAAAGTAGTTACAAGGGGTCTTGAGCAGCGGACCTCGGGGACAACTTCCAACTCCTGAGCCACCCTCGTCATCGGTGAACCATCTGCAAGCGAAGCAACCAGATACGTCAATTATCCCGACAAACACCAGTTCCCCCTAGCATGTTGCCGATTTCTAGCTTGGGAAGCCTAGAGTCAATTATGATCAGGTGTTTCTCAAGCTGCGTGCACCTGGGTAGGGAGGAGCCTGTGCGTCGCGTCTTGTCCACGCCGAACAATCGGCGATCCTCACGGTCTTCCTGCGCTTTACACTGTTTTGTCGCCTTCATCATAGGCGTCACCTCTCAGTACCTGAGGCTGAATCTTGCCATGGCTCAGCAATAGAACCGCGCGGCTGCCATATACTCGAAATCGTGTTTCGATTGGCTGCATCACCGATGAACCACCTTCGCAGGAATCGCGCTTACAAGGTCCACAGATGCGATGTTAATCTTGCTGACCATTGATGAGGGAGAAACATACGATTCTTCTTCAACATGGCTACTGTGGTCATGTTTAGATGCAGACGGTCTAAGTTCCTGTTGTCGTAAATTGCGTCTAGGGTGCTCAGCCAGCAATGTTACACTCCAAGCCATTGATCTATACGCTTTCTGATTCGCCTCGGAATTCATCACGATCAACCTTCGGAACATTCGATAACTAAAGACCAGTATTGTACCTATTTGGAGGACGTCAGCATACTTTCCATCGTTGCTATACAATCCAGTCATACCACTGGGGATGCAGGGTGCACACATGGCATGACTTACCGACTGCTAGCATTACTGGAGAGCATGCCGCGCGTATTGCAACCTGCATAAATGTGCACTAAAGCCTGCTTCATCGGTGATCCACGGATCACGCATCAATTACTGGGGCGTCACCCCGTATTCTAGCATCAATCAACTAAACTTCCGATGTCTTTCATTCCAGAAGCATCGAGTACCTGCCCCCGCGATCTTCAGGCGCTTGTGGTCAGAGACTGCAGATCCAGCTAGTCGGATTGTTGAAAGACGCGTCCTGTTCATAGATCTCAGCCACCTCCACAGAATTCGAGTTTGCGCGCGTTGGTTTCAGATCACGTTCTCCACTATTCGGGTGTATATCTGTATATGCACGGGTCTCTGATTGCTGATTAGAAGGCGGTATCGCTGATAGCCCTGGAGTATCAGCGGACCACATGGCGCCATTGCTGAGCTGACAAGTCGGATGATTCTCGAACAAACAGGGTAAACACAAGTATCCTAGCCCTTCGTACCCGGCTGCTTGACTTCGGTAGTTGGATTACATCCCCGTCTGGGAATCCTGCCACGTATATTGGGCTAATGCAGCCTCCCGAGCACTTTGCCTGCAGCAGTGCACTGGGCTCCGATATGGCACCGGAATCCGGTATGGAATACTCAGTCCCGCTGGCCGCTGGCTTCACGGGGAACAACTCTTGGTAACCGTTAGAACGTGTATGCTTAGACCGCAAGAGCTGATTAAAGTTGGGAAAGGGTCGGTCCGGTAACAGCATTAGACATCATTCAAATCTTCTTCTCTGAATCTAGTGACCTATCGATTCGCGCCATATGCATGCCTCACCAGTTCTGGACAAGATTATCACATCGACGATGATTTACGGGAGCTCCACACAAAGACTGGCCGCCTCCACCACAACATGACTCTTCTGGCACGTCTTTCGATCGCACGTGTGCATGCGTCAAAGGGTAGTTTTATTCATCAACTCCGCTAAGGTCTAAGCAAATGAACTGCACATCGGTCCCAGACCCGAGCTTCCTACTCTGGACAGGATCACATTTCCAGGCCATTTCCAGGCTTATTCTCGCTTGGCATTCCGCGAGGTCCCTACAAAAGACCACGCCGTACCAACAACCGGATCGCTTGACGCATGCAGCAAGGGCTGGGACGCCGCGGCAAACCCGCGGTACTTTGGACCGCTCATACAAGCTTCCCGGTCCTCGCCTTCGCGTTAGAAGGATCCGAAAAGACCACCGGTGTTATATCTTAGGCAGTCGATGGTATTTCCGCAGGAACCTGACGTCGCTAGTTCATAGATCCCGCACTTTAGGCGGGAGCAGATATAGCGATTCCCACAACGTCCCTACCCGGTGAATACCCTCACGGTGGGTCCCCAGACATTCAGCGCTCCCCGATCCCTGTGTCAGTCTGGTCACTGACTCGCAGACATCTAATTTAGGATGTGGGACGTATACCTGCCCTATTAAGACTCTGAATTGCCGAATATGAATGCTACGCCCATAGACATGAAAAAGACATACGATTGTAAGCTTTTACGACTGTCGGCGAAGCCGGTGGAATCATCCTTCCTTGCGCGGTAACGGTAGGCTCTAGTTTGGCAAACATAATTGTCACCGTGGTCAGTGCTGCTGTGAAAAGTTGTGTTCAATACATCTGATGCACACTGAGTTGCGCGCTGAAACTTTATTTGATCCTCGGTATTGTAACATGATTTCTGACAACTACTAACCCCACGCGGGAATTATTTCATGTCCCAGTACGAACCTTAGCTGAGGATGAGGCCTGCTGAGAGCTAAACGAGGTATGGAGAGATATGCATCAATCAGGAAGGAAGACAAACGTGCAGAATCTGCGGGGAGTTATTCAGAAAATTTGAATGAAATGATAAATATCAACAAGAAGAAAGAGTTGATCATACAGCTCCATTGAAGCGCCTTCATCATACATCTTGTAGACTCCACAGCCATATATCACTCGTCCCGAGGCGTTCAGATGCCTAATTGAACAACTCTATCGCATCCAAAATTACATTTGGAGCCAGAAAGCCAGCACCGGAACTTCCGCTCGTACAGCTAATCTTGATGGTGTTGCTTCCGCTAACCAACGTACCAGCTGGTATATCATAGTTGTAGACCTCGCCATACCCCCGATATGCGCCTCGAGTCAAACCACGCGAATCGATCTTTGTTGGCGCAGCAGGTGTGGCAGCGCTGAAGCTATTGACTACAACTGATGGACGACAACCAGCGAAGGAGAGTGTGGTACCAACACGGAGTGTCGCTGCGGCGGTAGAGGTGCCCGAAAACTTGATGGTAAGGGGGTTGTTGTCTTTGACGATAGCCATGGGGACACTGTCAAGGGTGCTAGAGCCAACTGTATACGTCAATGGACCCCAGGATGCCATGCGCGAATCTGTGGGGTGCATTCGCAATTGCTTGTCTGCGTTGCGGAAGCCTTTGGGCTGGCCATCCCATTCGCCGATGCGCCAGACTGAAGTCTTGGTTTCGGTATCGGCAGCAATGTTCGCAGTGGTTGCCTTTCCGGCTGAGACTGTCACACTGGCGGCTTTGACCTTGAACTCCCCCTGGTAGAGGACCTGGGTGTAGGTGCCAGGCCTCATTGCTGGCGATGTGAATTTGCCGCTGCTATCAGCGTACGCCCAGTATTGGGATGCATCGTTGTACCAGTGCAACACCCGTTGGAAACTGGAGCTAACACCTGTTGCCGTTCCAGTCACTGTACCCCTGGCGGATGGAGCCACATAGCCTGTTACACTAAGGTCCTTGAAGAATGTAGTGTCCATACTGGAGCCACCTGCGGGTATACCAGAGCGAGAGAAGGCTAGGGCATACGGCCCGTGCAGACCCTGACGGAACTTCTCTGTTTGAACGTGGCCTGAAATGTACGCGTATGAAATCAGTGTATGCCTCATATGCAGTTCTTACAGGGTCATTCCTTACCACTGTTCATGTAGAATGTCAATGAAGTGTAGTCTCCTAGAGCGAGGGTATACAAAGTCAGTATATGTCTCATATTCAAGTTGTAGAGAGACATCTCTTACCTCCATTGTTTGTGTTGATGTCGCGGTGGAAAGGGCCACCGGATGAGGCTTCGTAAGAGTAGGAGTTCATAAGGAAGCAGGCGTGAACTGCGTCGGTACCATCACGATAGACACAGTGCTAAAACACGTCAATAAAGAAACTCAGTAAGATGATGGCTTGGAGGGACACTTACTGTAGTGTCGTCAATGAAGCGCTCACTCGAGTAAAATTTACTTCGCGTTTGCCCATTTACTACAAACACATCTGACCCTTCGACCGTCGATGTCGACCCAACAGTTGTTGATACGACGCCAAAGGGATACTCTAGTGGTAGAGCGCTACTTTTCAGACGAGCGATGAAGCGCAATTCACCGATGCTGGGCTCGGCAGTCGTATATGTCGCCATGTATATTGTCGCTTCGCCGGACTTCGCGACAAGGTAGTGCGTCAAGGTACTAGTCGTGCAAGTAACCTTGACATATTGGCCTGATTCATTCTATCAGCTCCCAATCCCGAAGTAAGGGATATATAACTGACTGCTAATCGTCTCGTACTTGACAGTTGCAGTGCCTAGCCCAGACGAGATGTGCGATCCCTTCTCCGACGACTGCAACTCTTCTCCTCGGTATTTGATCGAAGTGATATCACAGCTCTTTGCATTGACGGTAAAGATGAGGGGATTGGACGCGCCAGTATCAACAACAATGTTGTCCCCACTCTGTGAGGCGCCAAAAGCGGCCAGTGCCGAGGGAGAGAGCGTGGCCGCAGCCAACAGTGCGCTCTTGAACAACATGGCAAGAGACGAAGGTTTCGAAACTATTGATCAACAGAATGGCCAGTAGAAGTCAAAGGAATAGCACAGACTTGTAAAAAGAATGTTGGTTTGATACCCTTACCTATATGCTCACCTCTCGAACCAACAGCAAGGACTTGCTACATTGTGCAATACCAGTCGGTTGCAAATGCTCCGAAATACTCATCACGCCCACCCGGGTCTTCCACTAGCCAGAAAGCTTCCACATCTCTTATCCAAGAAAAGCCACATTTGCGGTCGTTTGACATCCCAATTCACCGCACTATGAGACCGAAAGGGCGGGTGGTATACTAAGCAGAGGTAGTGATTCATGCTGGGTACATACACCTCGGCATGAGATCGCTTTAATTCCCCGGATCGACAATATTGAGTGATGATGTTGTCCTAGGGGCTAAGATTGCTATGAGGGGTGGATGATTCCGGAGTCCGGGGTATATGCACAATTAGTGGCGGAACATCTTGGCCTGTAAGACAAGCATTATGGAACAACTTGGCTGGACTGCATGGGGTAACGCCGTTGCCGACATGGTCAAAAAAGTCCGGAAAACCGGTCGCAAGGAGCGAATAAGGGTTTCATGTAGAGATGGGACGTTATTGAAATGGCAAAAAAGCGTCGCGGTAAGTCGTCTGCAAGGTGGGTGTGCTACGGCTCTTTTGGATATTAAGGTTTGAAATAGAGCCGAGGACTCGCGAGAAATTAGTTCTTTCGTAAACGGGAATAAGACTATATATGAAGGCACGTCAGAAACAGTTAAAAGAACGAATGTTACTAAAGATGACCCTAGCCACAGTGCGATATTCCCTTGTCGCTCAATCATCGCCACCTGGGCAGTCATTTCTGTACAGTGGATTGACTTCCACCTCTCGGCACCAAAGCGCCCACGGCCTCGTCAGTGTGCCTGAAATCGACTCCCAGGCATCATGGCATTCGCTGTCGCTCAAGTACTTCAAATTACCGCCCTCAACCTTGGCATGTCCTGACTTGATCTTCCCACCAGCTTGAACATCTACCTTGCCTTCAAGCGCGTAGCCGGTGTGGGCGTTCAATATTGTCATTGCCGTCGTTTGCGCCGTGGCTGCCTCCCTTGTGTATATCGCTTGGTAGACAGCTTCCTCGATGCCGTGCGCGACGGTCGTAAAGCCATGTCCTTGGAGCAGAACAACTGCGTGATCAGGATCCATCTTGGGCTCTGCGGATGAACCACCGAGCTGCGTCGGCAGAGCGGAGCGTACTTTTGAATATATGAAGCCAGTTGAAGTTGCTGGTTTAAACGCAGCTGCGAGGGACGAGCCAAGTGTACTATCGCGGACAAGGAGGTCATGCTTGGAGCCTGATGGGTAGTGGCTCGAGGCATCCCAGACTGGAACGTTGGTACCTAGATCGAATGCATCAGCGCCTGGCAAGATATTGTGGTTCGGGAAACTTACCCAAGAAGCCAGCCATGTGTATGGTGTTCTTCAGTGGCACACCGCTTACACAATACGGCAGCACGTCGGCAGCATGGCTATGCACCACACAGTTGATGGCAGGAAATCTCTTGTATATCTCACTATGGATGTGCCTCTCGAGGTAGCCTGGCTTCGCATTCTTCTCGACCGCCTCCGCACCGTCCACGTTGTATTCAACCAAATCGTCTTGTGAGCTGACGAGTGCTGGCGGCATGTTGCAAGGCATCCAGAAGGTCGCAGGGTTATCCGGCGACCGCACCGAGATGTGTCCATATGCGTCTAGGATTTTTGCATTGTGGAGGATATGGCAGGCTGTAACCAGGCCCTTGAAGAGGTCTTCAAGGCCTACCTTTTCGCGTTTCGGGAAGTATCCAGCGGACATTTTTCAGAGATACAGTTAGTGCTTGCGACATCTTGGGTTGCGGCATGTGCAAGTTGTATAGAGATGTTGTTCCTGCTTCGCGCATCCGATGACGTGCGTTGCCCGCGGGTGGGGGCGGGGAAATGACTGGCGGGTGCACCGCTCCTGGGCCAGCAGTTTCCAAGCATCTTCAACCACACTACAGCATCGACGAACCTATATCCACCCACTCCAAGCATACCCTTTGCTTCCATACACGAACACTGGAGAAGAGTTTAGGTTGATTCCTCACTGTATGCGGCATAAGAAAACTATCGTACATTGTTTGGTGGCGTGTTCATCCACTCAGCCATTGATGTTGCCATCCACCATCCCCTTTAATTCATTGTATGCTCGTTGTCTATATCTGTGTATGCGATATGCCAAACGCCGTGTTTCACCACAAGCGTGCAGAAAGCTCTATGAGCTGGACGTGTCAGTCCAATGGTTGATATGCCGTTAACCCCTTCGTGTGCCTGCACTGGACATTGCTGCCAGTGCCGACTACAGTAAGGTTGCCTAGCCGCATCCTACAAGTCCCCTGAATGTCCATACTTCCAATGCCTGTCACGGCTGGCGAAGTATCCCACCCAGATGTTCTCTTTTGTGAATGACGCCGGTAGTATGCATCAACGTCAGATCTCCCCTTTGCGTACGTCGGTCACAGCTTCTCTCTGTCATGTGTATCGTCTTCTTTCCCTCATCAACCCATCTCCACGTCAGCGTCTTGCTCTCCCATACCATCCACAAGATCACTGTCGCCACTCTCCCCACTTGTCTCCTCGCTGTCGCTGTCTTCGTCCACAATCTTGCCTTCCACCTCGCACTTCCTCGCATAACAACAGCCGTTCGATTCTTCTTTACCACCGACCCCAATCCCAATGTACAAGCCCTGTTTCACCTCCTCGATAATCTTATCAAGGTCAACCGTGCAGTCGCCATCGTTCTCGTAGATAATCTTCTTGGCTCGGCTATTGGCTGCTGCCTTTGTGGAATGCACCGAAGTGATGTGCGCGGTGCCGATGTTATCATGAAAGCTCGAGGCGGTCGGATAGCAAGTATCGGTCACGATGTATATCATATAGGGACCCGAGGTCGCAGCGTTTACGATGGTAGCGGTTGGCGGATTGGGTTGTTCGATGCTTTGCTGAATGTACGAATCGCCGTCGTGGATGTTTTGGTTGTTGTCGTTATCGTAGGAGCGCTGGGTAGGTGTAGGCCCATCCTTGCTGTTCATGAAATGGTGGGTGTTTTGAGAGTCGGGCGCCATCGCAGGCGACGAGCTCTTCTCCAACAGCACAGCTAACGGAGAGTAACGACAACTGCGGCGGAATATAAAAATGCGAGAATAGGACTATTATCGCAAAAAAAGGAAAAAGAAAGAAAGAGAGACTAGTTGGCTCTTGCAAGATATGCAATGCCACCACACTTTCCAAACGCAGCCCAAAAAAACCGACGCAAAAGTTTACGATGTTGCAAGCATGGGAATCTGACGCACAAAGAGGGGTTTTCTGGAAAAAAGCGATGTGCGGCTAGACCGCATTTCTAATTTATAATACTCACAGTGCGTCGAGTGGGTGCGGCCGTGTGCCAGTATTTGCTCCGCGGAGGACAGAAATGCGAGAAGAAGGCTTCTTTTTAGCTTATGGGAAGTGGCGAACATTCCCACAAGGAGCACATGAGGCTCGCGACACTTCCTCTGCATTTGCCACACAGAGCAAGCAGGGAAGATGTTAGGGATCTCACGCGCATCACCAACCATGCCTCAGCCACAGCTTAATGCCCAAAATTATATTCGAGAAAATTCCTTTTTCCTTGCAAAGGTGATCTGTCGGCGAAATAAAAGTCAAAAGTTGTTGATCTTGCAACAAATAGGGCGTTGGTCACTGGGGTCACGCGGAGATCATGGACAAATCTAAAGACTTGTAGCAACTCTGCCCGAGCTGCTGCGTGACTTTTCTGCCCGACCTCGCCGCCGGATGCGATGGGTGGGGTTTCGCGTCGTTGCCAGTCCCATCATGGGCCGAAAAGAAAAGAAGAAGCCGCTGGCATGTGCGAGCGGTACGTAGAAATGATCAGCTACCGCTTAGATCTAGAGTGCCCACAGTCGTGACCCTGGCTGCAAACGTGTTCTAGACACTGTGGACCTGGTGGTCCCTGAAGTTGAGTAGTGTAGTGCGGCTCCAGGTGCCGACGACGAATCACACGTCTTGGAAATGCGCTTAGCGTACTGGAGCAGATTCCGAGATCAGATGCTAGTTCGTGACGTTGTCCAAGGATACCCGATCCCTGCATTGTGCACCGCGGCATCCGATTGCGGGAGAGCTGGTTAGCGGTCCATCCGGTTGATCGGGTGAGAACACTGGGCCTGAGGCTGAAAGTCCTCGAACCTGGGACCGCAAGGCTTAGTCTGCAACTTACTTTTACTAGCATACCATGTCTTTGTTACCGACCGGCAGATGTTGTTGCAAAGCCAAAAGATGTCGGAAGACCTGGCATCGGCACGGCAGGTCACATTCCCACAACTACATCGACATCTGATACCTTCCTCGTCCTCATCCTGGTTGTCAGTCTGTACCAACAAAGTCCTGGGTACTGATCTCTGTAGCGAACCAAGAATGTCTTGGAGCAGTTGAGTTTTTGCGATGCATGCAACACGCCAAGTCAGATTTTCACAAATCACATTATATGTAGTCATACAGGATCCAAGACAGATGCAGCCCACTCTCCACCTGCCGTCATGTTTGTTTGCTATGCCAGACCTAGCGCCACCAGCTCCGTACGCTGCTAAGTTTATCCGTCCCTATGATACAAAAGAGAGAAAGGAGACCATGGTAGTGCCATGGGAAGAAGACAGGATGAGTTTACTCCTCCTTTTGCGTCGCCGACTGGGCTTCGCTGGCTGGCTGAGCCTCCTCCTGATGCTGCTCAACGCTCTTTTCCTTCTGTTGGTCCTCGGCGACCTCGACAGTTGGTGGAGCCTCGCTGGCTTCAGGAGCGTTGGCTTGTTCCTGCGTCTCGGGATTACGGCCCTCGGCGTCAGGATGGGGAGGGGCAACGCCATTTTCCTCAGCATCGCCATGTGAGTCCACGAGGCCCTCATAGATCTCGTGACCTTCACCATCGATAATACGGGTCCGGGTCTCGTAGCGGGTCTTGAAGCTGACTTTGCCGGCAAGTGCTGATACCTCATCATCGTCGAGGATACGGCCGTTCTCGTCGCGGTACTCAATACGCTCTTCTTTCGATACAACCGGGAGGTCCTTGGGAGGCTCCTGAGGTGGCTGGGAAACTACCGCTTGTTCAGACATCACATTCTCCTGCTTCGGCTCCTTTGCTTCCTGGATTGGTTGCTGATTTTGCTGCTGATTTTGCTGCTCCTTGGGTTGCTCTTGCTGAACTTGGGGAACGACTTCTGGTGCGGCTTGGACTGGAGGCGCAGGAGGTGCAGAAGAAGGTACAGCGACAGATGCTACCGGCTCAGAGTGCATGGTGTTGTATGCTTCATACTGGAATCAGTTAGTAGGTGTCGGCCGTTCACCATGTGAAGAGTACTTACAGAAGTGAGGAAGTTGTTGCAGTCCCAGTCCCAAGAGTCGAAGAGCTTGACACTGTTGCAAGCATCCTTGGTCCATGCGTTGCCGTATGCTAATGGAGAGTATACAGTGAAGACCGTGATGGCGATAGCCAGGAAACCAACAGCTGCTGCTTGACCGATAGCAGGGTACTGCCTCAGGCCAAAGACGCTGAAGCGGTAGCTTACAAAGTCGAAGATCTGGCAAAGAGCGAGAATGGCAAAGTAAAGAGCGGGTAGGTAGTGGTGCAAGAACAGTTGACGCGCCATCAGGTAGAATGGGAAGTAATGGAAGGCCCATCCGAGAATACTCATGCCGACCTCGTAGTCGAAACGCTTGAAGGTGACATTGCTGTAGTCGCGGTAGCCGCGCTGCCAGCGAAGGATTGCGATACCCTTGATAGCAATGTAGAGAGCAATGAGCGCGCTAGAGCTCCACCAAATCACTGGGTTACCCAAAAGGTAGATCTGACGGTTGTGCTTGCCCCAGAAGTTGATACCGCGGCGTAGGATTGGCCAAGATGGAGGGCGAGAATCCCAGGCATGCGATTCAGTAAGGCCAGCGTTGGTCTTCCACATGACCTTCTGCAATTCCCAGAACTTGCCGAAAAACCCGGGGTTACGGTAGTTGACCTTCTCGACCTCACCATCCACCATCAACGGGTGGACATTGCCCTCGATGTACCAGACGCTGTTGGGCAAGGTACCTTGCCTAGCGCAGGTAACCTCTTGCTGCTCAAAACCCCAGTCGGGAAGCTTGACTTTGTGCGAGAATAGCGCGCAGCCAGTCATGACGTGGACAAGCCTAAACTTCGTCTGGATAGTTCGGACGCGCTTCTTAGCCACGGCTCCGTCAGACTTGCTCTTAACAATCTCAATACGGAAGAGGTCGTTCGCGTCGCCCTCAAAGCCTTCGTAGCCGTACGCAGAAACTTCGTTTTGCCAGTCAGCCTCAGTAACAGGCGCGCGGACATCGTGGGAGTGAAGGCGGCGATCGGTAGTGATATGGTAAAGACGAATGACACCACCATCCTCGATGTAATCTGGGCCGACGTTGTCCCATGCCTTTGGGCTTGTGAGGTTTGGTCCATTGTAGTCTTCAGGCATGATCGGCAGAGTCTGGTTCTCTAGAATCCAGATATTGTTCTCGTCCTTGTGAGGATAGAGCGTGATTTGTTGCTGCTTGCTACCGGTTGGGTACATGTGACTGTGTGAGTGAAGGTATCCACCCTGAGTGTTCCAGTGGCGCAGAGAGACACGGCTTCCATAGGCGACGTCAGCAGGAACAGCTTGCATGCCCTTGGAGTTCAGTGTCGCTTGGAATTCCGAGGACATGAAGCCGTCACCTTCGCCAGGGTTGACCAGGCAGAGGAAATGGATTCCGAACATGGCCATATAGAACGAGACAGGAATGACAATCAAGCAGAACATGCGGGCGAAGAAGTGCTTGAACCATAATCGTGGTGTGACGTTCTTGGTGTCCCCAAGAAGGACCCAGAGTTGCACAAGCGTCAAGCTGCCGACCCAGGCAATAGTAAATAGGCCAACCCACTTGACACTGACTGTCGCGCCGAGTCCAACACCGGAAGTGACCAACCAGAACCACCAGGATGGCTGGAAGGCCTTTGCGGGTCCTTGTTCGTGCTGGTTCATGAAGCTTGTCCAGGCGAGTGCGGTAAGGGCTGTGAAGATGACGAGCGGCGAGTCGAGGAGGATAAGGCGGGACTGGGTCACGAGTGCGTTGTCTAGCAATGGTTAGTATATATGGTGATAGATGGATGTGTGCGTCCTACCGAAGATGACGAGGCCAGCACCCAGGGCTGCGGTGGTAGTACGGCAGCCAGCAGCCTTCAGAGTAAGGAACATGGTCGGAATCGTCAGAATACCGAGGATGGCGGGCAACATGCGCATAGTGACATATGGAACCTTGGGCTCCAGGTAATCCTTGCCAATATCCTTGAAGTCGAAGTTTCCGTCAAATCCACCTAACCATCCTGCCAATGTGATGAGGAGTTTCGCAAGCGGAGGGTGGACATCCATGAAGAACCTGCCCTTGATGTATTTCGACGCAAACCCACCGAAGCTGAGATGTAAGTCAGCGAACAAGTTCTTTAGATTCTTGCTTAGACGATGCGGCTTACTGGACTTCGTCGAAGACAACGCTGGTCGGCTGTTGAATGCGGAAGAGGCGTACAACAGCAGCCACGCCAGTCAACATGGCCAACAACGACCAGTCCGATCCGGGGAGGTTGAAGATATCATGGTCTTGCACTCCCTCGGAGGTGTAGCCTTGGACATTCTGCTGCTGCTGCTGATGCTGCGTCTTTTGCTGCTTTCGGCCGTTGGGTGCTGGCGACCGCGACTTGGAACGCGACTTGGATCTCTTCGATTGGGGCTTCTCGCCTAGGTAGGCATTGGATGCCGATAGGCTCGCCATGACGGCGGGAGGTGACGATGTGTCGTGGCTCGATCAGCTGGTAGACGGCGTTGTACCAAAAGTTGGGAACGCTGCGGAGTTGCAACTATAGTCTGGGTGGAAGGCGCTTGGGGCCAATGTCGTAACAAAAAGAATTAAAGAGAGTTGAAAAAGAGTCCCATCAAGATGAGAGGAGAGAAGAGGTGGGAGTCTCAATGGTAGGCGCAACAGTTCAAGCTAGGGGGAGGGTCCCGCGAGGAGTAGTGGTTGCGTTGCGTACCAATTAACCCTAGTTGCAAGCTGTTCCTTACGACGGGCCTTACCGAACTGGGAGGGCTGAAAATAGGTCAAGGCCCGTATAGAACAATCACTCCACGCAATGTTCTGTCCAAGTTGAAGAGTCCAGGCAATCTTTCCGGCAATAGTGGTCTGACGACTTGACAGCGTTCGCAAGCCGAGGCGCCTTGGGTATTGCGCCGAGTGCTTCACCTTGACATGTGTGGCTGGTGCGTGTGGCTCAACTGTGGCTGAAAATCGTCGGCCCGGAACATCTTTCTCGCAGCAGCGGGCCTGTTGTACTATGGGAACTTTGCGACAACTCCAAGCCCAGTCGCCGCTACCCCATCGTCCGCAACCGCCCCACGCGATCTACGCGCAAGCCAGTAACAGCAGGTAGTCGCGATTGAGATCTTGCTCCCGGCGCCTAGAAAGAACCCCTTGTTCCTGCCCTGGCGATCGGTTTACCTATCTTTTGCGACTTGTAAACAGGACTACCGATACCATCCCTCGAACCCGTAACGAACATCATCACAACGCGCCATGGCCAACTCTAACGGTGAAGGCGCTCCTGCAGGACCGCCAGAGCTCGACGTCAAGCCACCAGAGAACCTGGTTATCCCCCCACCCAACGTGCGCGAAACGATCGCAAAGACGGCTGATTTCGTCGCTCGCCGAGGCGAATCACATTTCAATGGACTGAAGCAGCGCGTCACGTCTGATCCTTCAGCTGCGAACAACCGTAACTTTGTATTCGTTTTGGAGGAGGACCCCTACAATGCCTACTTCCTGTGGTATCTTCAGCAACTCAAGGAGGGCCATGGGCGATCAGCTGGAAGTGCTAAGCAAGTGGTTGACAACAAACCCAAGGGTCCTCCAGAACCGCCCAAGTTCCGCTTTTCCGCGCGTATGCCCAACATCAGCGCAAAGGATTTGGAGGTGTTGAAGCTCACTGCTCTGTACACGGCGCGCGTGGGTGAGAACTGGTTGAAGGACTTGCGCAACCGTGAGTCTGGCAACTTTCAGTTTGATTTTCTCCGACCAAATCACAGCTTCTTCCAGTTCTTCCGATCGCTCGTTGAACAGTACAAGATCCTGCTTGAGGAAGAAGCCACAGTCGAGGCACGCATCGAGGAGTTGCAGCAAAACATCAAGAACCGATTCCATGTGTTAGATCGCGCCAAGGGACGCGCCGAGTACGTCAAATATGTGACTGCACAGAAAGAGAAAGAGGAGAAGAAGGTGGAGGCCGAGAAGCAAGAGTATGCGACGGTCGACTGGCACGACTTTACAGTCATCGCGACTGTGCTCTTTGATGAAGCTGACGATGCAGCGGATCTGCCTCCTCCCGCACAGCTGAATGATCTGCAGTCGCAGTCGCTCGAACAGAAGGCTGCGGTCTCACTATCAACAAGGCGTCTCGAAGAAGCCATGCCCGACGAGATGACTTACTACAACGTCTCACAGCAGCAGGTCCTACCGCCTCAGATGCCGCCAAACTACGCCCCTGCCGCACCACCTGTGCAGCCACCCTATGGCGTACCGTCCTACGCGCCTCCCCCTATGCCCGACTATCGGACGCCGGCACAGATATCACGCGAGGAAGAGCAAGCTCGGCAGGCAAGGGAGCGTCAAGCGGAGAACGAGCAGCGCGCACGCGCTCAGGCTGCTGCCAGAGGAGCGCCTGGTCGCATTGTCACAGACTACGTTCCCCGCGCTGCCGCAAAGAAGGCAAACGTTCCGATGGCCGTATGCCCTAACTGCAAGCAGCAAATCCCCTCAAACGAGATGGACGAGCACATTCGCAGTAAGTTTTCCCCTTTTTCTATTTTTCCAAGAGCCTTTACTAACGCTGTATGCTAGTCGAATTGCTTGATCCACGCTGGAAGGAACAGCGCGACAAGGCGGAAGCCCGGTACTCTACCACGATTAACACCGCCGACGTTGCAAACAACCTTAAACGTTTCGCTAGTCAGCGCGAAGATATCTACGATGGTGCTACAGGATTACCCATATCTGCAGAGGAAGAAGCTCGGAGGAAGAAAGCTGCACTGTCGTACGACGGCCAGCCTGATCCTGCCAAGGACGCTGCCCGTATTTCGCAAATGCAAAGCATGAATGTCCAGGAGCAGCTTCGCAGGATTCAAGAGAAGCATCGCCAATAGGGCGTAGATACGAGTAAGTCTTGATTTTTCTTCCACGTGATTCGTTGTTCAGGACATCAATTGCTCTACTTGCATTGGGTGGCGTTTTTGGCGATGTCACTTGTGTATACCACCGACCAGACGCCAAAAGAGCTTCATAGGTTCGATAGTTCCGAGTCATTAGCTCGGTTGTAAAACAACAGCTGCAAAAGCTTAATGAAAAGTGTACCTCAATTTCGTGCTCCGTCTACAATCCGTTTCCGCAGTGTTTAGCGTGGGGCAAGCTGTGGTAGTTCTGCTCACTGCTCGGACTTTCGAAGCTTCGCTCCGACATGTGCCCCAGACCTATGACCTAACCAGCGACTTTTATTCCCAGGTCGCACCGTCCTCATACACACTTCCGCACATCGTCCGCAATCATGTCATTAGCACAGGCAACAAAATGCGACATGGCCTATCAGGTGCGCTCGCTCGTACGTACCCCTCCTACATTATTTCGATATATCCGCTGCAGCGACTCATGATGTGTCGCCTCATGTGATTCGCGCAGTACTTCTACACTGTCCCTACGTGTACTGTGCAGATGCACTGCGCGCGCACATGTCGCTTCTCTTGTCGTAGAACATTGACTAATTACTCTCTGCAGTACCGCTCCCTCCTGCGCCAGAGCAGCCAGTTCGCCGCCTACAATTTCCGCGAATATGCCAAACGGAGAACTCGCGATGCGTTCCGGGACAGCAAGAATGTGACAGAAGAGCGAACAATACAAGAGCTGGTACAGAAGGGCTTGAGCGAATTGCAAATGCTGAAGGTAAGATAGATTTCTGCTCGTTCGGTATTGGAGGTGGAGGGTCTGCAGCGCGCAGCGGAGAAGGTGGCAAGCAAGACAGATCGCAGCCTATAAACCCATCAGGGGATGCATTTTGTGGGATGCGACAACGACGGATGGGGCGCAGGAGTGTAGCACGGAATGCACTGGGATGGACGCTGACTCGGTTCACAGAGGCAAACGGTGATAAGCCAATTCTACCAGATCGATCGATTAGTCGTCGAAGGAGGGAAAGAGGGCAAGCAAAAGGGTGACAGAAATGACATCGTCAGAGTGAAGGATCAGGGCTGGGACTGAGTGGTCCGCTCAAAAGTGCGGATACGGATAATGAGACGAAATGATCTTGTAACAATATGGCGTGCATTGCATGCGGATGCGGGAACATGCACGGTAGCAGAACAGCTGCGCCTGTCCCGACGACGATGGAAAATCGAGAATGAGTATACTGTACTATATCGTGCCTGTCATTCAACTCTATCGAATGGAATGTTCAGATTAAATGTGAAGTTCGCATGACAACAAGCATCGGTACTTCTTGCGCTTGTACAAAAAACATGAGTTGTTAGGAAAACATCACGACTATTGTTGGTGTGAATGTTTCATTGTCTTGTCTTCTATCGTGTGTATATTGTTTGATTTGCGGAACTTATAAGTGGCTCGTTCGTATGCGTCATTGCAGAACTGGGATCAACCAAACCACAATGCTAGATCAGATAGAAGTATATCCGAGAGTTGACTGAATTGGATTTGATGTTTTAAAATTGACTGAAATCACTTTATTGAGAGGCTATGCAGAAGACTGATGATTGCGTCTCAAGTCTCAAGGCAGCGATCGCAGATGCACTCAAAAGGGTCTAGCGGCGCACGGTTGTGCCTGCCATCTGCAAAGCGACGCGCTTCCCCTTCACGCATCGCGACTTCCCGTTGCATTGCGCCGACTCTCATACCCACTTTCACCGACTGATCCAGTCCTTATCGAGGAAACCACACGTCGCCATGGCTCCGGTACGTCACCTCATCTTTCCGTTCGAGCGTGCATCCTCAAGCTGCGTCTGTTACATCGAGTTGCCGCCATTTGCACGCGCGCGACGTAACATCGCTATTGCCATCACGTGCATCGCATCCTGAACATCTCATCTTCTTATCATCGACGCGACATCGTTTTGTGGAGGAAACGTCGCAAAGAGATCGCCTTGTGGTCTAGAGCCTCGCCTGCTTGACGGGTGGTGATGAGTACCTCATTGGTACCTACTTTCCACTCATGCAAAGCAGCGGCCATGACCTATTTTTCTTTAATCTGAACAAGATAGCATATACGCGCGTATGTTTGTCAGACTGGAAGCTAACATCATGTGACTAGTTCCGGAACAGGGACCGATCCAACAGATCAGGGCGTGGTCAAATAGAACATAATGTGTTAGAAGGACTTCCCATCAGTCAATACCGGGAAGCAGAAATTACTATTGAACCAAATTCGGCCGATAACAAACCTTTGGATAAGGATGCTTGGCCTGAACTACCCATGCCTCGAGACTCTCACATGTTGCCTGAGCATTCTCAACAGTTACTGCGAGCAGCACGATCTGGGAAGTTATATAAGCCACCCGCACCTCCAGAAGACGACAACGAGATGAAGGATGAAGAAGAAGAGACCAAAGAAATTCGTACAGGATTCACTATCAAGAAGTACGTCAAAGTCGCACGACATCTAGAAGTCCCGGAACCAGAATATCTTGCAAAGAGAAGGAAGGGTCTACCGTCACCCTACGTCAATGGTCAGGTCGCACAACCTGCACTGCGAGAAACCAAAGTAAAGAAGCTCGATGCCGATGGCAATGTGGCTGTTTACAAAGTGCTTGTACCAGAAGGTCAGGCTGTAGAAGGCGAAGTTCAACCCACAGACGCCGCGATTGAAGTCGCACCAGCTACTGCGGCGCCAGGCACCATCGTCGAAGGAGTTGGTGTGGTGAACGCGGAGGGCGTGGTCGTAGCTAACGACATTCTACAACAAACGCCACCTAGGCGAAGGCCACCACCTCCTAAGAAGAAGGTGAAGCGTGGAGGTCCGGGCAGAGGCAAGAAGAAGGTCGTCTTCGCCGAGGGTGGAGCAGAGCAAGGAACGCCAGCATCACTTGCTGGTGGTGACTTGCTGGGTGTACCAGGCGTCAAACAAGAGGATGGATCAGTAGCACCTTCAGATGGCGGAGATACACCAATGGCAGACGCCGGCGGCGAGGAAGAGGAGGCTTCTGGCGAGGAGGGCTCAGAAGACGAGGACCAAGACATGGAACATACCTCTAACCCAGCGACCCCTCAGACATCTTCTGTAGCTCCGACCAGCGCTCCAGCGAACGAGATATCTAGCTTCACAGAGGCTACTCCAGCAGAAAGCGCCGAGCTAGCTACCGAAGCACCACCGACTTCCAACGAGCCTTCCGAAGATACCGCAACAATCGAAAGGACCACACTCGAAGCCGTCCCGGCTGACACGACCGACACGATTATGCAAACGCCGAAGCGTGACCCTTCAAGTTCACCTGATCTACCGCTCTCTGCCGTCTCCCATAGTCGCCAGAACTCTATGAACCAGATCTCGACATCTGATACCACCACAGAAGCCTTCATTCCTGGAGATGCTCAGAATGAAGTCCTAGCGCCAACCGTGGAAGAGAGCACGGCACCAGCACCGGTGGTGGCATCTGAGCCTCAGCCCGAACCCGAACCCGAATCTGTTCCTGCACCAGTACCCGAAGCTGAGCTCAAAGCTGAGCCCAAAGCTGAGCCTGAACCTGTGCAACAAACATCAGTCGCTCCTCCCGCGCCACGTTCCGAGTCAGACCCTATGGGAAGTCTTGAGCGACAGCTGGAGAAAGACAACGAGGATATGAGTGGGTCATAGAATGGCCAAGCCAAATCCTTCCGCACTTCAAAAGCTTGTTTCATTTGCTGTACATTGTGTGCAACTGCAGCAGGAAGGCAACCAAAGAACAGAGTCAGGAACTCGTGTGCCCATATGCGAGGAACTGTGGGTGCATATGTTTATGGATTTGAGCATAGCTTTAGTCTTTAGTCAGGCGTTACGCACATCATTGTATTAATATCAACGACCTTATCACTTTTCTGACCTACTTTCCTTGATTCACACGCTGCTCATTTCCTAGTTGCTGGGGGCTCTTTTCCCGCATATTTCCGTAGTGTATTGCTGTTGCCGATGGAGATATGAGCGTTATGGTCAGATACGCTACCCCACATTCTCACGCACGCTCATACGTCATTTTCAACTTTCCCCGTCGGGAACCACATTTATCACACCCTCACTAACTCAGCCTAGGAGACACTAACGCAACAAAGGCAGGTCATTTACCGTGCTATCGGCCTTGTGTTCGAGTGTATATATGAGTGACTGACTTCACAGCAATTGAATCTTACCTTCCCGGAAATCTCGCGATATTGGATAAGCAGACATCATGCCTTCGATAAGCGACATCGTGAAGGCAAGCCAGCCTGACCTAGCCTCATATGAGGAGCTTTGTAAGTACTCTTTCAATTCCGTCGATACTAGCATTAACGGCGATCCAGACAAATGGTTCCACACGCACCCCGAGCTCTCTTTTCAAGAAGCCAAGACTGCCGAGGCCATCGTAAAACATCTCGAAACCTTCAAGGCTTTCACGATCCACACTTCTATCGGCGGCCACGGTATTGCTGCCAGCTTCTCCAACGGCCCTGGAAAGACCCTTCTCTTACGTGCTGACATTGACGCGCTGCCTGTTGAAGAGAAGACCGGGCTGAACTATGCGAGTACGGCGCGTATGAAGGACTTAGATGATGTTGAGAAACCCATTATGCATGCCTGTGGCCATGACATGCATATTACAGCGTTGCTTGCAGCGGCAGAAACTCTAGTCAAATGTAAAGACGCATGGAGCGGAGAACTGATTCTGGTGTTTCAACCAGCGGAAGAGAGGGCAGGCGGTGCGCAAAACATGGTAGACGACGGGCTCTACCAGAAGGTCAAGGAGCCAGACGTCGTTGTCGGCGCGCATGTCATGCCAGAAAGAGCCGGTGTCATAGGAACAAAGCATGGTTTGATCGCCAGCTCTGCAGATAGATTTCAACTCCGCATCGAGGGCCGGCAAGCCCACGCATCCACCCCACACCGCGGCATCGATCCTATCCTTCAAGCCGCTTCCACAATTATGCGTCTCCAATCCATTGTAGCGCGAGAAGTAGATCCCCTGGACTTCGCCGTCGTAACAGTCTCTGCCTTCCATGCCGGCGACGCCGAAAATATCATTCCCTCGGAAGCCAACCTAAAGATCGACGTCCGCGCCGCCTTGCCCCAGACCCGCGAACGTGTACTTGCTAGCGTGAAGCGTATCGTCGCTGCCGAGGCCGAAGCATCAAACAATCCAAATGCTCCCACCTTGACACCAACAACGCAGTTCCCCTTACTCTTCAATGATGCCGACATTACCAATGCACTAGAAGAGTCGTTCTCAGCTCACTTTCAACCTGGCAAGCATTCTTATCAGTCTGACATTGCGCGCTTGCAGGGTTCAGAAGACTTTGGTATCTTGGCTACCGCGATCGGTAAGCCGAGTTGCTTTTTCTTATATGGAGGAACGGATCCAGCGGTTTGGGACAAGGCGGAGAAGGAGGGAAGGCTTAGTGAGGATGTTCCAGGAAACCATAGTCCGTTCTTCGCACCGGTTGTGCAGCCTACGTTGACGGTGGGAATGGAGGGATATGTTGTTGCTGCATTGACCTTCCTGAAGAAAGCGGAGTGAGTGAGTTGTTAAGAATTTCTTTTGTGCGAGAAGGCAAGTGCCAGAGGCGTTCTAGGTGGTAAGGTATGGTGTAAGGGAACGAGATGCTTAAGGTCGGGCGTAGATCACGAACAGCTATGTGTGCCTCAAGCGTAACAGGTTTAGTCTTGGTATCTAAGTGTATCCATCGGTCCTCTTCCTAATCAATCTTATATCTGGCCCAGTTCTGTCTATTCCATCCACTGACTTCTTTCCCCTGGTCTTAGAAGACCAGATCTTCACCAGTGTTCCGTGTCTCACTTTCGCCTGCTACCTACGTATGCCGACCAAACGTAGAATGAGATTCTTGAATGAGGTCCGACTATAGGGTCAACGCAAAGTCGTCTTAGTTCTCAGGAAGTAACGGCTGGAAAACTCTTTTGGGAGGTGGGCTTACCATATCGTCCCATGGTTCGGCTCGTTGGGTTGGCGTTATGGGTGTCGGCCTGGAGGTGGTGGCATATGATCGCGGCAGCGGGATCTGCTCATCGGTAGACATATGCTCTCTCTTGTCGACAACGGCGAGTACGAGACCAGCCATAGGCATGAGCCAGAGTAAACTTCTATGTGTTAGTATGGTTCTGCATACGTCATGAGCTGTACTCACCATTCAAAGGCTCCTATAACAACCCTTACGACAAACGTTTTGACGTGGGCTGTAGGATCTACTTCTCCCCATTGCGAGATCAACACAACGATCAATGCAGTATCGACTAGCCAGAAAAAGCTCATGAACAGGTGTATTGCTAGCGAGATCTTGATGTTGTGCGTTGTTGTAGATGTACATAGACGTACGATATAATACGTGCACGTTAGGATCGTGAAGGCGGCCTAAGGACAATATTAGCTAGGCATGTAAAACGAGGTTTCATTACGCACAAGTGCTATAGAGTACACCAGAATGTTATCTGCAGGAGACTGGATGATGTGGGCATCTAACCCGAGGATGATGATCGTAAACAGCAGCCGCGCAGTGTGCTCGACTGCAAACTTCGTGTGCTTCGGCAATGAAAGATCTTGACGGTATCTTTGTATTCTATTCATGATGGTTGTCTGATGAAGGAGATTGGTCGATTAATGAGGTCTTCAATGTGGAAGCATATGAGCAATGGACGGAGGAATGGGTACAAGAAATAAAAGTGGAGGCGGTAAGTGTAAACTTTCTTATACAGAGAGATAGTAAGTTTACTGAAAGTACTGACGGCTGTCTCAGACATCAGAAAAGCGTATGCTTGTGTCTGTTTGGCTAAACGATTTTCATTGGTCCTGTCGAAAGACAGTATTGAGACATCCAAGACCTACAGCCTCCTTGAACCACATACGTTGTATCCAATACCTGGCCTAAGCATTTCCCGTCCCAGCCGATGGTTTCCTGTACGAGAGTGCCTCCTCACGATGTTCTTCCAGGTCATGACCTCCACCTCTAGATTATTTGGCTTCGGCGGATAATAAGTACGCCCCTCATAGGCGGATCATCATCTAGTTGGTCAAAGACCTCATCGATTCTTGAACGACACAACTCGATAAGAGCTGAACATCGGTCGACTTCCTTCTGGATGCGTCGACGTTGACGTTGCAGGCTCGCTAATTTGTTAACAGTATTTCGGGCCTGGAAGGAGAGGACAACAAGACCGATATACAGAAGGAGAATTGACGAGAGGAAGCAAACGAACATAAGAAATGCGGCCGAAACGCAGAGCGGATGCTCTTTGATCAGTATCAAGTCGCGCAGCATAGACAGTCTAAATGTAGCGAGGTTTCCTAGATCTGTTCTTGGTGTGGGAGTTAGGAAAAGTCAAGAAGTGTTGAGATAGACGAAGTCTGCAGAAGACATCGATATGGGTATCAGCGTGTAAACATCCACTATCATATATGTTCGGCACTCAGCTTGCTGCAAGGTGAGCACGCGGGATTGTTATCAGTAGCTGTTGCGCATGAGTAGTCACGAAGCAGTTTCTCAAACTCAACAATCTGCTGCTCAGGACGTGTCCCAAACGCAGTAACTGCTTGAGCGTGGGCGCCTTGGTGTTCAACAAAAGATATCCATTTCCAGTTGTTCCATGTGGTATGACAGTAAGGAATGCGAGGAATATGCTATCGTTCGCCCATCTCGTAGAAGTGCCCATTTCCAGCCTCCTTGCGCCACGCGCTAAGTCATTAGCGCGTGCATTGACCTTTCCCGAGGTCCACCTCCTTTTGCAGACTGGTGTCTTTCAATCTGTGCCTCCCGACAGCAAAAGCACGCGCTGTACACTAGCAACAAGGCTCTCTGATGACTCTAATCCAATACACTCGTGTCATCAAACCCAAAGTCACAAATATGCAAGTCGTGCCGCGCGGCCGTGCCGCCGCCCCACAGCTTCCGGGGTCGCATTTCGCCTCGCCCAATAGCAACACAGAACGCGCTCTTGACCGTGACAAGCTCAACCACAAGCACGCCTCCCGATACAGACGCCTGCCAATGATTTCCTCGCCTTGAACACATACAAGGTGTGACTGAAAGAGCGAGTTATAGCGTGGCTGCTTGGTACTCCGCATTCGGCAGTCCAGATTTCCATTTTATGTGATGAAGCACACCATGGCTTTCGTAGTGAACCACAAGCCGTGAAGGTGAGTCGGTGGTTTCCTCGTTATATGTAGACTGAGATCCGCTTCGCTCTTTCATTGTTGCTCAGTCGGTTGTGTTGTCGTCCTCCGAAGTCATTCTTTCCAATTAGTCACTCATTTACGACATGCTTCCTTTCTCGTCTCTCGTTATCACTGCGCTGCTAGGCGCCGTAGCTAGCAATGCTGCGCCACTCGTTCAGGAGCGAGGTATGTTGGAGTTGCGGAATGTTCTCAACAATGTCAACTGATAAGTCCCAGGAATCGCAGCAGACCTTCTGGGTAGCTTCAAATTGATGGAGCAGTATGCTTCGGCGGCATACTGCTCAAACAACTATGACTCTACCGGTGATCAGATTGAGTGCTCGACTGGGAACTGCCCGCTTGTGCAAGATGCTGATTCTACTACTGTCATTGAGTATAGTAGGTAAGTTCACAACCCAATCTTGCGTTTAGCAGTCCAGGATGAGACTTACATAACCACGAGCTACAAATATGCTAATGACGACTAGACAGGAGACCTCGACTGATGTTACCGGCTTTGTCGCCATCGACCACACCAACAAACTTGTAGTGGTTGCCTTCCGCGGTAGTCAAACAATCGATGCCTGGCGCACCAACCTTGACTTCGGCACTACTAAAACGGACATTTGTCCTGGCTGCACTGCGCATAGCGGTTTCTGGCAGTCTTGGACAGATGCGCGCGATACGGTGTTGCCCGCTGTGAAGCAAGCGTCTGCCGCATTTCCTAGCTACAAGATCACCGTAACAGGGCACTCGCTAGGCGGCGCCATCGCTACACTCGCAGCGGCAAGCATGCGCAACGCTGGCTACACTGTGGCGCTGTACAACTTCGGATCACCGAGGATAGGAGGCAGCAAGATCAGCTCTTATATCACGAATCAAGCTGGTGGGAACTATCGGGTCACACATTGGAACGACCCGGTTCCCAAGCTGCCGCTGTTGACGATGGGTTATGTTCATATCAGTCCTGAGTACTACATCAATAAGCCGAACAGGCAAGAGGTGTCGGCTGGGGACATCAAGACCTATGATGGCGCTATGAATTTGAGGGGTAACATGGCCTGGCTTATCATGGACATTGAAGCTCATCGATGGTACTTCGGGAGTGTGTACACTTGCGGTACTAAGAAGTTGAAACGCGGGGTTTTAGAGATGAGAGATGTCGAGGGAGACATGGAGATTGTCACCACGTTTTGAATAGCCTAAAGGTTGCTTGTGCCCTCTTTAATGTGTAACAGAGGGTGTGCTACACTCAATATTCGATTCCTGTCCATCCTCCCCTTCCTACAAAGCCCTCCAGTCCCTCGTCACTTTCCACCTCCCGTGCTAGTCTTCCCGTCACGACGCTCCGTTCGTGATCCCGACCACGGACGAGGAAAGGCTTGAAGCCTCCTGTCCACGTCCCTCGTTCGTTACCAGATGTCTCCAATCGAAAACCACTGTTCTGCCGATCGAGTTGAAGAAACCAATGTCGCTGATGTATTGATCCAATATCGTTCGAGGAGCCAGGGTATGCGTTGGTGACGTGTGTTTGGTCATCCACATTTGTGTTGGTATCTAAGTCCTGATTTTCTGCATCCGCCTGCACAGATGTGTTTGCATCACCTCCCTCGTCATCCGAGGTAGTAGGAATTTGTGCTTCAACACAAGCTTGAGAAGGCTTCCGACTCTTTCGTTTTACCGCCACTTGTTTGGTCATCTTGCTCGATGTGAGGCGCAATGTGAATGCGTAATCTTTTGGTAGTCGCGTGCCGTGTAGACGTAGGCGGATGTATCCACTTTTAAAAGCTGCTACTAACCTTGAGTTCTCGTAACCCCCTTCGTCTGCATATTTGCGCTGTCTTACTGTTGCCTCGCTGTCTGAGTCATTATCGGTTTCTTCGTTATCTGTAGTCTGAGGGTTTGGTATGCCATCCTTCCTTTTTTTTCCTAGGGAGAATACTATAAGTTCCGGTATCCCATATGAGTAAGCTTCCAGTCTTGTTACCCGCACACTCAATCAAATGGTTCCAATAGTTGTGTACCCTAGTCTCTATCGCCAATCTACCCGTGCTCTTCGAATTCGGATCACCAGGCAGTCCTTTTGGTAGAGCGAAGGATATGGAACTCGTCTTGGAGAATTGAAGACGCAAGTCATAATGCACACCTGCGACAGGGTGATTGTGTTGATGAACGACAAAGTGGTGGCCATGGGGCTGGAGGTTGGACTGATAGAGAGTGGCAAAATTGCAGATTGAGATTCTTGGAATATCGGGTAGTGTATCCCTAGAGGCTCCTGCCAATTGGCTTCTGAAGAAGGTAAGATGATCGTCAATTTTGACCTTGCCGGCTTCAATTGCTGCCAGCGTAGATATAGTTATCGGTATAGCTGGTGTATCATCCACAAGTGCAGCTGTCTCCGAGTCTGAAAGCTTATGCGCAGTCTCTGTAACAAGCGTTCTTCTTCACTTCGAAGGCAGCGGCGGCGATATATCTCGTGTGAGGCTCTGTGGCAAGTCCATTACTACCCTAGTTGATGCATCGTCTATGCTTGCAAGAACATCTATGTTTTTTCGATCCTTCTAACCAACGCTACGCCAAGGCTTCGTGATTAGTGATTCACTTGCTAGTGTGAGATTTGGGAGTGAATTGCGCGTCGAGTTCAACGAACGTCGCGTCGAAGCAGTGACGTCATCTATGTGCGACTTCGAATTTCGAACACCACAAGCATCTCATGGGTATTGTCAACAGTCGTACGAGCATTTGAAAGAAGCAGAGGTCGGGATGCCAAAAGCGAGAGTTCCGGATCGTGACGAGCAGCATACACGCGTGTGCGAGGTGTGGGGTCCCCGCAGGATCCGATGGCCTGCTATTGGATGTCGGCAGACTTCCTTCCTGCCTGCTCGGCAAACTTTCCCAAATATCGACCACATCGCAACGACGTCCCGCAAACATAGACACGAAGTGGTTAGACGGCACCCATACTCCGCACATAATGAGGATGAACGGAGGATGCAGGGCCCACCGATGAAGGTTTGGTGGCTCTGGAGCGTGGATGGGTGGATCAGCGGACGGGTTGGCAAAAGAATGAGCATAGTATAAATATCCCTATGTCCTTCTTCTGGTACTGTTCCTTGGTACCGTGTCCTAAGACTCTTCTCACTTTACTTTGCTGTGTATCCGAGTCGCTACAAGCTGCTTTACCATGTCGTACGATACAGAAGTCCTCATCATAGGCGCGGGCATGAGTGGCCTGGGCCTTGCAGTCCAGATCATTCGAAAGTATGGTCTTCGCAACTTTGAGCTCATCGAGAAAAGTGATGATGTCGGTGGTACCTGGCTGGCAAATACATACCCAGGATGTGGATGTGATGTAAGTGGTTCTGGATCCAATCTTTTGTTAGCACCGAGACCTTTGCTCAGCTGAATAGGTTGCCTCGCACTTTTACTCATACAGTTTTGCATTGAACCCGAACTGGTCACGAAAATACTCCATGCGTCCAGAAATCCAGGCCTACTTTCGTTCCGTAGCTGAGAAGTACAGAGTCGTTGAACACGTCCGCTTCCATTCCATTGTTGAGAAAGCAGTCTGGAACGATATTGACAACGTCTGGGAGGCAACCATCCTAAACTTACAAACCAAAGAGCGAACAACGAGGCGAGCGAAGGTATTAGTCTCGGGTGTCGGCTCACTATCAGTTCCGAAGACGTGCGATCTACCCGGAGTAGAGACGTATGAGGGCAAGTTGTTTCATTCTGCCCAGTGGGACCACAGCTTCGACTGGAATGACAAAGATGTTGTTGTACTTGGTACGTCTCAATACGAAGTGCTGGCGAATCATCAAATATCATGCTTACGAAACCTTAGGCAATGGCTGCTCAGCGACTCAATTTGTTCCTATCATGGCTAATGAACCCAATCCTGTGCGTAAACTTGTACAGTTCGGACGACAGGCGCAGTACCTCGCAGAACGTCAGAACCCACATTATTCGGAAACGTTCAAAGCCGTGATGCGCTACGTACCATTCGCAATGCGCCTCTACCGCGCAAAGTTCTACTTTGACATGGAGCGCGACTGGAGTGGGTTTGATATCGAGACGGGTCGTAGTAGACGACAAAATCTAGCGAAAGAGAATGAGGCATATGTCAAGAGCATGGCGCCGCCAAAGTACTGGAACGCGCTCATTCCAAAGACCGAGATTGGATGCAAGCGGAAAGTGCTGGACACAGACTATCTGAAGACATTATGGAGGGACAATATCGAGCTCGTTTCCGACGATCCCGTCGAGAGAATTACCGACAACGGTGTAGTGACAAGGAGCGGCCGCGAAGTGAAGGCGGATGCAATTGTGCTTGCGACCGGATTTGCAACACAGCAGATGCTATGCCCGATGGAGATTGCGGGGCGTGACGGACTTAGCCTGAACAGATATGTGAGTCGAGCCGTTGGAAACGCCAGGAATTCAGATACTGATGCATATTATAGTGGGAAAAGACTTCGCAAGGTGTTGCGCAAGCATATTTTGGAACTGTGGTCCCCGAGTTTCCAAACTTCTTCATCCTCATGGGGCCAAACACTGTCACTGGCCATCTGAGCGTCATCTACACCGTCGAATGCCAGATCAACTTCACCCTCCGACTCCTCGAGCCTATCTTCAAATCACTCCCATCATATCGGTCGCGGTCATTCATTCCCCAGATGCTGGCGCCACCGCCAGCGACTGTGGAAGTCAAGTACGACGCCGCAATTGCAGATTCGCACTGGACACAACAGGCAGCCAGGAAGCTAGTTTGGGCTTCTGGCTGCGTCAACTGGGCTGTCGATCCCAAGACAGGCCTGAATAACAGTAAGTAGTCAAAGAAGCTTTGACCTGGGTCTGCGTGCTAACCAGATCAGTGATGTACCCCGATTGGCAATTCCTATATTGGTTCAGGAGCATATTTTGGAAGAAGAACGACTTTGTTTATCGAAACGAGAAGACTGGCGAAGAGTTCCGACCGGGCACAGGCAAGAAAATCTTTTGGCTAGCCACTGCAGGAGCACTTGCGACAAGCGCCTTCTTAGGACGAGACTGGATCCAGGACGAACTGCTTCGGAGACTAAGAAACTTCGATGCTAGGTCACTGGTTCAGAGGTTGACTACCTGAACTGTCGTGCATGAATGTGGTAGTGAGTCGCTGCATGACTGGGTGGGATGACAGTGCGACCATCCTCATAACCCACACCTCCAGGCAGCAACGTCGTCCGAAAGAGGCAGCGAAGAGCTAGAATACCCACAGGATGGAACAGGTGGTATTATATCTTACCTTCGAAGCGATTTTCGTGGTTTATATCTCGCTACAAAGTCTTTCGCCGCCAGTAGTGACGTTATACGTGAGTTGTGATCCTTCCAGCAACGGAGTGACCACCACACCTAGATATCTGCGTTCGCAGCTCCAAAGCGCCCGTCTAATTGGTACAATCAAGTCACTTCTATTGTTAAATCTCTGCAAGAACAATAGCAGCAATAGCAGAGAACACTGGTTGTTCACCATCCGGGCATCCCTTTCACCTTCACTTAACCAAGTCGTTTCCAGCCTCCTCAATTCCGAATTTTCAAATCAACAAACCTTCCGCCGATACTTATCCCACACCCATATATTAACGAGAAGCTATCGTCTTCTTTACACTATCCTCACATTTGTACCTATCCCGAGCAAGTCTTGTCTTGATCGTCTCACATCTTCCACCTCACGAGGTACAACACAACAGATCTCTCGAGATGTCTGCAAAGACTCTCCTTCCAACTTTCGCAGTAGCGATCAGTCACATGGCCGTTCAGGCCGCAGCCACAGCCTATCCGGCTGACTATATCGTCGAGCACATCCTCAAGCTCAGTAACTATGTCATCAATCTCGCTGGCAGCAGCATTCTCTTTGGCAAACCCGAACTCGATCTATACAGTCCCAGCCTGAACACTTTGTTTGACCGCCTGCAAAAGAAGCAGCTCGGTCCCAGCCCACTACCTCCTGGATTTCTCACTGCCGAGCGCATTCACGCACGAATCTACTTGCGTTCCGACCAAGAGGCTACCGGCCGCCCACTTGCCGACTACGAGGACCTTTACTACGCGCTCGTCGCACGCATGCAAGAGATGCGTCAATTGCTGAACCTTCGTATCAACAGTGGCTTCAACATTGCAACTCAACTGGTTTGCAAAGGCGGCCCGAGCATCGCTGAGTTCCACAATAGTCTCTCCGAGTATTGGGATGTTCTCAACAATCCGTCATGTGGCAAAGCGCTCGATGATGCGATCCGCGACGCAAGGGTTCAGGCGCTCCGCGATGAACTGGCCTGGCAAGTCGAGAGCGACAACATGTCAGTAGAAGATGCGCTCGAGCATTTGAAGCAACTCAACAGCATAGATGTCTACAGTGGCATCTCAGGACTCAATTTTGTTCAGGACTGGGCGCCGACCATGGTCGGTGCTTACTTGGAGCAGAAGTATCGACACATACTCAACCTGGAGAAGGAAGAGGCATCTATTAAGGCGAGGCAAGAGCGCCGTCAAGCCAAAGTGAAGAGTACACGCGAAGCTCCTCCCGGTGCACCAGCAACGCAGAAGGTTTCTGACCGCCGTCGCGCCCGCGCTGCACGCAAGGCGGCTCACGACGCCAACACCAAAGTCCTCATTGAGGCTGACCACCAGTATCTACCCAAAGAACAAGCAGCGATGCATTACTCTCCCGAGTGTCTAGCGGAGCTCCATCCCGGTCGCCATTACGAAGAGCATAGCGCGGCCATATGCGAACAAAACATTGCGAATACAGACGATATGCTCATGCTCCTTGAGTGGCAGATGAAGACGCAGCGTGTATCAGAGTACAGCGGCTACCTCCGCACTCGTGCTAGCCAGGAGTCGCAGCGTGCGGTTCAAAGTACTCAGGGCTCGGTCACAGACAGCTTTGTTAGTTCTTTCTCCTCTACCCTGCCACTCGGTGGTAGTGGTGGTGTGTTTCATCGCCCCGACATGGATTATAGTCAGTACATGCAGTTCTAATGGTGGACGATAACCTTCAATTGGTGAGACGAAGGGATTAAGACCGGGACGCAATTGAAGATACCAATGACGTATGACCGTTGAATGACTGTATAGGCAGGTAGATCAGGCAGAAACTGTATACCCTAGTGCCCTATTTAGATAGCTCTTTGCACACATGATCAGTAAGTGGACTTATTGATCTTCGACAACAACGTCGTTGCGATCCGTTGCTTGATCAAGTGCAGAATATAGATACTTTGCTTCAAAAGAATTGCTTTACTTTTCATGTGCTACTGCATGTAATCCGGATCCACTTCCAAAATCATGTTTGCGCCGTGACCACCTGGTCTCGGTGCTACAAAATTGGGTACATGCCACAAATTCCTGTTACACCGCTCGAACTCGCCAGGCTCTTGTTCCTGGCAATCGTAAAGATTCAGAGACTACTTCAATGTCAGCGTGCATACACACACGGCTCGCCAGGCCCTCACATGAAGGTGGAGAGTTTGAGCAGGGACGTACCTGTAATCCATTTAGTTTGCCCATCGCCATTCTCGACACCTCTCCTAATTGCCCCCCGCAATCCGCCACATTCAAAACCTTCAGCTTTCCCGTCCCTTCCCACTCCATCAACCACGTCCAAAGACCTTTACCAAAATATCGGCACCGGTCTAACCCCAGTTCCTCACAATCTCGACTTTCCTTCAGCAGAATCGCCAATTGGTCAACCTTCAGATCGCAATTTTCCAACTTCAACGCCATTAATCTACGGCTCCAAACCGGCGTACTTTTGGTGAGCAACTCCCAAGCTTTTTCTTGCTCCTCGCGCTTGACAGCAACACAAGACCGGCGTCCACCGATGATCCTCTCTATCCTCAGCGAAAAGCGGCGTAGAGCACGTAAATTCTCAATTGCGCTCACCATGGGTAAGGTGAGTGCCCATACACTTATCTCAAGATGCTGGAGCATGGTGCCATGGCGATTGAGGATGCTGGTCACGAGGGCGCTTTGGAAGTTGAACAAGGTCCAGTATTCGTAGGTTTGTGCTTTGGGGATCTGCAGCCATATGGAGTAGGGACTCTTGGTGCTATTACCGGTAGTGGAAGTTGGTTCGCTGGTTTGATCGATGTTTAGCAACTTGGGACGGGACAGGGTAGGAGGAGCGATGCCGAGGGATAGTGTGTGTAGGTTTGCGTTGGCGAGTGTCCGGGCATGGTGAGAGGTTTCTGAGAAGCGAAGAAGAGATGATGTAGGTAAAGGTGCGAGGATCTGGCTGATAATTTCCGTAGGGAGGTCAAGGAGGTGGCTTGGCATTGTTGAGAGCTTCCGATATGGAATCGTGGAAGCAAGTGAGGATGTCGAGTGTTAGGATGATGAGCCTGCTTTTATCTATGTATTTCGAGGCTTGGTGAAGTTTATACAGAGGTAGATATCTCGGTACCTATTCACCTACCAACGAAACTCTCGAAATATATACCGTGTAACGCACATTACATACGCCGCATCTTGCAGCCCCCTTCCTTCCCATTGCTACAGCGCTTATTCATTTCTCCCGAATGGCCATCATCTCTGAATCAAAGCAGACCTTCGTTGTCAAGCCGCGTCGTTGTGGCGTTGTGCATGAACCATGGGGCTAGCGACTGTGCCACATGGATGCTGTGTAAGGCCCCGCCCCGAACTGCCTAAACTGGCGTCGATAAGTAAGCGTTGCCCTTTGCCAACGACGTTATCCTCTTACATACAGCTTGAACTACAGTAAAGGATTGTGGCTGCATGGGATGAAGCCGCAAATGTTGTGTGAGGAATGGGTCGTGGCGCACGCATTGAGGTCATTATCGCATACAGGTGTGATAAGACGGAGCTCCGAGCGGCGCAGTCATATCACTGCAGCAGGATGATATGATCTTGCTGTATTGGTTGCATGGCATTCCAAAAGCCAGAGTCGTCGCTGCACCGCGTTGGTCAGTCGCTCGCCGAATTTCACGGGTAGATATTTGGGTGTAGGATTCGGGGCCGCGGAGCTTCGGGTGATACGATCAGCTCTTCTGTATTGGTCAATAGTTGCATGTATGCATGCACGAGCTGCGACATCATGTGAGTTTCGGGTATGTCCGTTATGAGACCGTGGACTTGGTTTCCAACAATGAACAGTAAGCATTGGTGTTGTGTGTCTTTTTCATTGTATGGCGAGCAGCATACCCTATGCAGCTAGAACACTTCCGTTCATATTCTTCCTTGTGTCACATCCACAAGAAGCTAGGATCCTACAGTGTCCTTGAAGGATGTAGCTTCATGAGCCACTCCTCGGGCAGCGAAATGCAGGGTCTCAGCCCTCGCCGCCAGCACCACGCTCGAACACCCGCACGCTACCATCGCTCTTGACCTGATATAAGAACTCCTTCCCCCTCCCGCCATCATCACCTTCCTTGTCTTCTTCGATACCGAAACCGACGTCAAACCATTGCTTTCTCTGCTCAGTAATGCGTATCACACCGCTAACGTCCCTCGCAACACCAGTGTCCAATATCCTTACCCCGAGTATCCTCCTGCTCATGTGTGCGCACTTGACAAGCAGGTTGTGATGCGCCACTTCGAGTGGCTGGGGAGGTGTGGAGAGGCTGAGGAGCGGGTTGTCGGCCTGTATATGCGTGAGGACATGCGATACATTGGGTAGCGTATGAAGCTGTAGCATAAGGGAGGTGAAGTCAGAGGGCGTGATTGCCGGGTTCAGCGCGAGGAGTAGATCGGGGTTGTCGAAGATGAGGAGCGTCTTCCGTTGAGTGGCTGACGTAGCCAGCAAGGCCACGGCGCGAGAGATGGTCATCTTGATGTCGGCAATCTCGAGGCTCTTAAGCGTATACCGGCCTGGTGTGCTCTGACTGGCACTCGCTGGCGCACTCGGGGTGTTGGTGGCTGGAGCTGATGGAGGCGGCCCTCTCGCAGGCACTATCCGTCCAGGCGGCCCTCGCGCAGGCAGAATCTGTGGCCCTCTCTGCGCTGGTATCGCATTCGAAACAGTAGTTCTTGATGATGTCTGCACACTGGTCTGCGAGTCTCTGCTGGGCGTGCTGTCGTTGGTCTCATTTCCACCAGCAATCAGTCCGTCAACAAAGGCGAACCGTCCCTCCTTGGCCAGCTTCTCAACATCCAAGGCTGCGCCTTTTCTAGCCTCTTGCCTCCAGAAATCATGTTCTCTCATCCATGACACGAGGACGACGTTGTGTCCCTCACCCCCACCATCTTGCGGTGCTGTGGTGCTCAGCGCATTGCAGAGGAACCGGATGAGCAGCCAATTCGCACTGGCGCCAAGGGTACTCGTGAGCAAGAGGATCGAATCGTCGCGGGGTAGCTGGACGTAGGGTTGTAGGAGCGGTGGTATGCGCGTAGAGGGTGGCATCGTGACGCAGGCACCAAGAGGAAATAACGAGTTGCGCATCGTGTGCTGCTTATCGATACCACGCGTCATCATCCTCATAACTGTTGTTTTCCCCGACAACATTATGGCCAACACCAAAGAGTTTGTTGTTCATGATTTTCTATTTTCTACTTTTTTTGGTGCTTTTATCATTTTACCTACTTTGATGGCGGACAATCAAATCGCGCATAGCCTTGATCCATCCAACTTCATACGAGCCTTGAAGACTGGCCATAAACGCCAGCCAAACATCTCTGCATCATGTGGCAGACATGCTGTAACTCTCATGTTACTTTTAATACCGCATCTCCTCCATTCGGCTCACCCACCTCCATCCTTGCTAAGTCCAAAGTCCAAATCCAACAAGTCCCCATAACGCGCGATTCCTGCTTCGGTTTCGACAACTCCCATTTCAGTCTCTGCAGCTATGCTCGCTCCGACGTGCTTCTTATGTCGGGTTGGAATAACTTGAGTAATCAAAGAGTCGGGCTGACGTACGGTTCCGCCATTCGCGATCTTGCCTAGCTCACTAGGAAACAGCCAGGGGAAAGATATAAGGGGCATATGCTCCTGCTCCATAGGCCGCACTCGAACTTGTTGACCGCCCACAGTCTTCGTCTTCGTTCGGCACTCGACCAGTGCTGCCTCCATCTCTTTAGCGGTAACCGTATACATTGCAGCAACGAATTTCTCTAAAACATTCCCGTCGGCTATACCTCCGATAGCTAGTCCTGCAGCAACTCGGCACTGCTCTCGGTATTGTGACTTGAAGGCTCCGATCGTCTTACCAAATTCTTCTGCAAATTTGTAGTCCCTGCTTTCGTGATTGTGTAAGAGGACAAAGACTGACCAGGCTTCAAACTCGGTCTGGATACCATGTTTGGCCATCAAACGGCGCATGTACTCGTCGTATGATGCCTTGAGTTCCGTTGCTCTACTGAGCATGTCGTCGTCGAGTTCGAATGCGTTTATGATGCGCTCGTCAAACGGGTTCTCCCACTGCGGCTTGAAGTCTACCAACTGAACCTGATCATACAGCATCCCCAGGATCTTCTTTGAACGATAGGTCCGATTTTCTGGAACATGCTTCTTCTCCATGAAATGTGGCCACTTCCAAGGCCTTAACTCACGCGTCATCTCCGCCGGCAAGCCGCTCTTCGGGAAATCGACAGCCTTGGAGTGCAGCTCGGCCAGGGCTAGGCATTTCTCGTCGTTTACGCCGTCGGATTGGAAGTCGGCTTGTGCTAGATGCGCGTGCGCTATCTGTCCAAGGGAGTCATTCTTCATGTAAGTGACGAAGAAGTCTCCGATATGCGAAGCGGTGATTGGGTCTTCGGTTTCAGTAGGCTTTTCAGCCGTGAAATCCATAGGTGGTGCGTTGACGATTTCGGGTATCAGGTCGGCGTCCCACAGTACCACGTAGTCATCTCCGTCAAGGTCACCACCCGAACACATGTTGGCGAGATCTCGATCCCCAGTCTGAGGCAGCACGACAACATTCTTTAGGTGATGGAGCATCGGCACATTTACTGCGCGGACCACCCGAAGGTCTCCTGGATGCAGTGACGGGTTTCGCGCCAGGATACACACACCCTCAACAATCTTGTAGTGGCCCTTCTTGCTAGTGTCGTCAACTTGTAAGAATATCTCTGGGAGTGTTGCCATCTTCTCATTCCTCGTAGCATCAAGTCTAGATTGGGGATCGTTCATGTGACCTCGAAGCGTTACTGTCTCGTCGATACATCCAAGCACAAATGCACCATCTTCAATAGCGATACGAGCCTTTTCCTTAAGATTTTTAATGGTGCAAGCCCTCCAGAGTTTGAGAAGAGACATGATGAAGGGATCTTGGGCTTTCATGAACCCATCCAGTACCATGCCCGCCATCGTTAGGGTAGTCTGATTCATGTCGATGTGCTTTTGAAGCTTCTGTAAAGCCAGCGTTTGATCTACCATAGCGTTCTCATAATCGTTGATCATTTCTTGCTGTTTCCTGATGAAAACGTAATCGAGTACGCCGAGATATGATAGAACCATAATGATTTGACGATTGAAGAATGGGGTGGCAAGGGATGACGACCGGATGATCTCGAGACCATGGTGGGGTGCGACAAACTTTTGTTGGCTCGGTCTGATGTGGACCTCACGGCCAGTGATTTTGGGATCGAGCGCAAGCACTCCTTTGCAACCACCAAGGCGAAACTGGAACAGAGACGGCGGAGCATCGAATGGCAGTCCGAGCTCTTGGGCAGCCATTTTAGCTAAGAAAAGCGATATCTTACCGACTCCGTCTGTGAAGGTATAGCCGTTGCGCGTGATATCAGGAATAGCTATGACCTTGACGTTGTCTGGCATCGCGCGGGTGGTCGAGAAGCATTGACCCAGACGAGCACCGAATTTTGCCACAGTCTTGATGTGACTGAAGTCTCCTAGTGCGACACGGATGTCATCGGCAGAATTAGATGAAGTAGGTGCGTAGAAGTATGCGCCGTGTTCGCGAAACTGTGAATTGCCAAATGCTAGAAATTCGTAGTATCTTCCTGCGACAACGATGCCATGTTTCATGGCACGGAGTACTCTATCGAATGTAGCTTCAGCTCTTCCGTTTGGCATGTTGCGGAGTTGACCTTCGGTTTTTTCATCGGAGAATTTTACTCGGATGAACCTATCACTGTCCGCAGCATGCTTACGAATGATGCGATTAGAGGTCTCTATGATAGGTGATGCGACATGCATCATGGTTGGAGTAATCGTGACCGATCGCTGGAGGACGCAGTAATTAGGAACTTTCTTCTCGAGGTGTTTGACCCGGATGTTGAATATCTCCATCGGATCGTAATACGTGTGTTGTTTGTCGACTATTTTCTCAAGTATATAGACAGCACGACGAGGCTCCAACGCCGCGAGCTTCTCCAGGAAGTCGCTCGTCATGTTATGTTCTTTCAAGTAGCCGTTCGACAGGCAAGCCTCGAGCTGATACCGAACTGGGAAGTTTAGATGAATCTGACCAGCGAAGAGGTCATCGAATACTGATCCCTTCGAAGTGGGCGTCGATCCAAGATGCGGGTGAGTGCCGGATATCTCTTCCTGTAGCAGAGACCATAGAGGCGATGCAGCCTTTTCTTTGACTGTGTACTCCTCAAGGTTCTCAATCATAACGCCATGATCGGCAAGAGCATTGCTGAATTGCTTGAATTTGAGCCCATTTATGACTGCTGCGTCGAAGCTCATGCGATAAGTGGTCCATCGGCCTGCAGTAGTCAGTCAGGTGTTCATCGAGAATGCTAGCAAGGCTTACCAATATCAATAATAGCTGTGTCCTTATGGTTCATCAATGGTGAATCCTGTAACGTCTTCTTAATCGTGTTGTTGACTACATCAGTCGCTCGGAACCAGGTGCCCCAATCGTCCCAGAACTTCTCTTTAGAGAAGCTGGTGTGCTTTGTCCCATCCCCAAGGCATTCGCCCTCCTTCATCTGCATGTAGAACTGTGGTGGAGAGTCGAACGGAATGACCAAAGCCGGTCGACCCGTGATCTTGTCGGTGGTCTGGTAGATACGCGAGAGTAGAGGGATGGGCAAACGAAATCGAAACTTGCGCAGATCATCATCAATATTGATAGGAAACTGAACATCGAGCTCTTTGCGAGTTAGGTTCAGCATCACGGAAGGTTTGAAGTCCTCTGTGGTGTTTGTTGTGGCGGCGGCTGCTTCATCTGACGAACTTAAGGTATGCATAGCGATCATGCTCTTTTCTGCGACCCTGACGCCGAAATCGATCCCCTGCAATGGCAAGATGTTGAACTCATAGTATGTTTTTGTGGGGTTAGCAGGGCTAGGAACGGTCTTGACACGGGGAGAGAGTGTCTCGGATCCTATGAGAGCGGCACCGAGACGTAGGTTCCGATGTGGGATAACACCGGGAGGGGGAGGTCTATCAAAGAATTGTTAGAATCTACGTGATGCTATAGAACGTACACTTACCGGAAGATCACATAAGCGGTATTGTCTCGAGTGCCAGGGACCATATCGATGCTGAAGACGGTGCCAAACGATGCCATCGTGCGATAAACGTCCTTTGTCCAATAGTTCTTGGGTATGCCCGAAAGTTTGATCTTGCCTTCCTGGTTGTGGGCCCAATTCTGAGCTCCATCTCTCAGCATTGGTCGCTGTAAGTTGCGCTGATCGACCGAGTTGTAGCGTGGGCGGTTATCTCCGTACTGATGAGATGCTCGAGTAATCTGTCTCGATGGGCTGGTAATTAGTGACCTCATGATAGGAGGGGTTGATCCAGTACGGGTTCCCGCAATGTATGTCTCATTGATGCTGTGGCCGTTCAAGTCGAACGAAGAGATCTGTTTGACAGGCGTAACAGGTGATTTCACACTGGCTGATGGATTGGCCAACTGCTCGGGAGTTGCTACACGATTCTGAGGAACCTGAGTGGAATTTGAACCTGTATTGGCCTTGATCGTCGGTCGATTCGGGTTGTGCTGGCTGTTGGAACTACCAGAGCTGTCGGAGTATGTACGATCGCCACCTCTACCACCAAGATATCCGCTGGGGCCGCTGCGTTGATTGCCACGGTACATGTTGCGGGCGACGAAAGACCTCTCACTGTTAGAGCTTGTCTGCGACTGCTGTTCAATATTCCCAATCGGTTGTCGGTCTAGAGTGTAGGGTTGTGTTGATGTGGGAGTGTTGTTGTTGAAGGTAGGAGTCGAGTCAGTGGGACCTTGATTAAGAAGATGACGATCCATGTTTGCTTGTCAATGCACTTGCCGTCGCTCTGATCCCCAGGGAATGGCGGTAGGAGCAGTCGGTAGCGGTGACGAGCTGCCAAATCGAGAGTGACCGCTACTTCAGGAAGGCGCAATGTAGCGGTGCTGAAGCGGCTGACTAGAGGAACTATGGAGGCGTATACTAACGACACCCAGCTCTGGGAGAATAGAATGGGACAATGGAAGTCGTTGTTTGCTCGAGGTGGATGGGCAATTAGACGAGCGTTTGCTCATAGCCGTTCTGCATCCGGTAAGAGCGAGTCGCGACAGGTGTGCGCGATATTTGCCTGGTGACGATAGACTGGAAGTCTTGGGATTTGGGGGCTAGAAGATGGCTTGTAGCTGAAAGGATTGCCAAGATAGCAGCAGCGGACAAGGCAATGTGACAGGGCAGCTGGGGTAGATGGAAAGCCTCAGAAGAGCAATCGGATGAGGAAGGCGCGGGGTCAAATCCAGAGCTACTACTCAACAATATGTCTGAGTCGAGATGAGGAAGTTACGAACGGGGAGCGACCTGAGAAGTTGAAAGATAATGGCTGATGTAATGATGAGTTACGGGAAGGCGCAGAGGAAGGAAGCAGGTAGCCGTAGGGTATAAGAATCAGGACAAGATCAAGAAAAGAAATTGAGAGGAGATAAGGCTAGTGTTGAGGTAAAGCTATCGGAGGGTAAAGGTGGAATTAACACTTTAAATAAGGATAGACCGTTGGGTATCTCAGAACTGTCAAATGTCTCACGCACCTTGTATCAAAGTGTCCCTATCCAATGTTTGCAGATTTAGTGGTTGACCATGTCATATTATGCTATAACTCCTTGCTCACAGTTCAGTCATGGTCTCATCGTCTTCCACTGGCATACGACCAGTCCCAGACATAAAGCCTGGAGTAAGTGGCGTGCCTGTCGCAAACTCATCTTCGATGTCGAAATCTGTCTGCTCAAAAGCCTGAAGGCTGCCTGTGGACTTTCTGACTGAGCCAAGTTCGCTAGCTGTGCCATCTCTCTCACTATCTGGTAATTTGAACTCAGCAGTTGTATGGCGGCGATTCGGCGATACTGGCCTCAGAGCACGTTTGCTTGATGACAAGTTACGTGAGTGTAAGACTGGCTTGGGTATCGAATCCGGTTTTTGGGTGTACGGCGTTTGCATCGTTGGCACTTTGAATGTTGGCCTTGGTCTGGCACGCTTGGGTGTTGGCCCGCCGCCTAGTGAAGAATTGGAGTCGGCAGACGAGGCGAAAGACGCATTTGTGACATGCTCATTGGCCTGGTCAGGTAGTTCTTGGGTATCCACCTGGGCCTTTGGCATGCCTTCTTGAGTGTTGATAGCTGACTTCCGCCGTCTGTGAGTTCGCGGCTCGCGTACAGTTTGGGGCTGAGCGATCTCTTTGAAGGTTCGAGAAGCAGGCCGAGTCGGCCGCAGATGCATAGCCATCATTTTCTGAGCGGTTCTGAATTCTTCGAGTTCCTCTTCCTGCTCTCTGCAGAACTCCTCGAGTTCTTGTATTCTTGCCTCTAATGGTGGTATCGAGGCTTGAAGGAATTGAACGTCGCTACGGGTCTTTTCATGATCATGTCTCTCTTGGCGAGCGCTATTCTGAGCATTGTGCAGCTGAGCCTCTAGCTCTTTGCGTTCGTCTTCAGCTCTTCTAGCAGTGACATTTAGATCGCTGGCATGCTTTGCTACAAGCTCTTTCATCATTTCTGCCGATGATTCTTCAAGCTCTTGATAGCTTGTCCGCAAGACATGTAACTGTCGAAGAGCGTCCTCAAGCTCCGCTTCTTTTCCTTCCAACTGATGCTGGTGTTCCATTACTTGTGCTTCAAGCCGTGCAATGTCATCCGATTGTCGAGAAGCCTTTCCTCGTTCCTTTTGAAGCAAATCTTCTGCTTCGTAGCTACGATTCTGATGCTGCTCGCACTGAGTTGTTAAGTCTTCAAAGTCTTTCTTCTGCTGCGACTGAGACTCTCTCAGCTGGTCTATAGTGACGCTCAGCTCGTGAACCTTCTCATCACGAGCGTCGATGGCCTGTTTATACTGGTGTGTCATTGAGCGAAGCTCCGACTCTACTGCGCTCGATCTTTCATGGGCGGCATTCAGAGCCTCGGTTGCGTCTCGCTTTGACGCCTCAAGAGAGGTCTCTGCGTCTTGGAGTCTGGAATACATTTGATCCTTCTCTTTGGTTAATTCGGAATTTTGCTGCTCTAGTTGCTGTTGGTCGTCTTTCAAATCTTGCAAGTCCTTGTCCAGGCCGTCTATGTGATCGATGTAGTCCTGTCTTTCTTGGCGTAACGACTCAATTTGTTCTTCAAGATGAGCAGTTTTTTCTTGAAGCTTCACAGACCTCTCTTTCTCTAGCCGTAGCGGCTCTTCGACTGTGTTGCAACGCGTTTCGAGATCACTGCAAATCTGTGCCATAGAGCGCATGACGGCATCTCGCTGGTATTTGCTTTGACTTTCTAGCTCCGAATCGAGACGTCTTCTCCAATCTTCTATATGCTGGCCTGTGTGTTGTGTGCTTGCTTCTTCAAAGAGAGAGATTGAAGGCTGATTCAAGCTTTCCATTGAGTGCAAACAAGCATTCAATACTGGAGGAAGGTCTCGCTGTTTCTTGATAAGAGCAGTAACGACGGCTTGCGGTATCGTCGACTCTCCCGGTTGCGCCGCAAGAGCGATGGTGAGTAGAGAAGCGATTGTGGCAGTGATTAATCGCCTACGCACCAATGCCGCATGTGCGTAGCAGCCGGTACCTTCTTTTTTTACAATAGGATGGGCTAGGTTCGTAAGTTTCTCTTGCAGAGTCTTTGATGACAGTGCACGCAGCACAGTAGTTCGTAGGATGCCAGACGTCATCGTAGCAGTGGCCAGCTCATCGATAGTGCCAATAAGATTAGATGCCTCACGGGAGCCTGGCTGCGAAGCACACGCTGTTAAGATACCTGATACGAGTGCCAAGATGGTTCCCTCCTGGATATGCATTGCAAAGGCTGGCAGAGAAACCGCAAGAAGCTCGGCAAAGTTTTCAGGCTCTGCTATACAAGGAGCTTCTAACAAACACGCTTCATAGCGTGAGACAATGTCTTGCGGTAAGTTCAGATGGGAACTCGAAAGTATGCCGAGGAATGACAGAGCCTCCAACTGAACGGGTAAACTCGCATCAGAGCTCTGTACTTTGGAAAAACACTTGCTGTACAGGGTGGCCGCGGAGCTGCTAGATAGATGCCAATTGTCCTTTACATCTTGGCCAATGGACTGTAAAGCTCTAGATGCGATGCGTATACCCTCGACTGCCTCGTCATCTTTGATCCCTCCTCGAAGAACCCATACCACGTTCAAACAGGTCAGTTCAATGGTTTTGTAAGAGTCCTTGGTTGAACCGAACAACTTTTGGCCTGACGGTGTTACCCAATGTTGCTTCAGCCTTTCCGTAGATGTCGGCTCCTCATCAGTAGACGGGCTTTGCAGTTTCTCAACTTCTTCAGGATGCTCTGTGAGTAGCACTATACCTTCCGCCCATAGGAATAGCATAGAAGACTGTACAACTCTCTTAGATCTGAGTATATTGCACAACTCTGTGTCGAATCGATGTCTCGAGTCCCGCGGAAGAAGGCTGTAGAGCCGACGACATGCTCCATTGAGCATCCGATACACTGATCGCAGTGTATCGTAGTTCGGTTGCTGGGTAGCGTGTTCGAAAACATTAAGGAAGAATGTCTGTGCTGTAGCAGGTAATGGAATCGCCTTAGGCAATGGACGAGAGAGGAGAAGCACACATAGCTCGGCGTGCTACATGAGGTTAGACAGGGTTATACCTTCAAGTTTGTATACTGACCTGCTCAAAGTCGGACTTGGATGAGCTTGCCTTCTTCAGCAAAGTATGAAGAAGTGTCTGTTGCAGGACCAGTAATTCATCTCGAAATTCTGGCGCATGACCTGAATTAACTCGTCAATTCTTATTGCGTCCCCAATCTTAGAGCGGACAGCGGTGAGCTGCTTACACAAAAGATGTAGCACACGCAACGTGTAAGCATTCAAAGGTAATGCATCGAAGACGATCCTGGCCAGCCTGTTCACGGCACATGGTGACCGGTCTTGGACACATGATCGGATAGTCGGTACGTCTGCTCCAGCCAGGAGATCGTATAGATGCTGTGGAATCTCGCGTCAGCTCAGGAATGATGGAACGCATATGCAGCGAGTCATGTGCTTGGGCTCGAGACCAGGCTAGTGGTGCGACGCGAGGACGTTGAGAAGATGAGGGGCAATGCGTACGGATAGCGAAGGGGGGTATGGACATTCGATAATCCTTGTCAGTTCGGACGTCAGCTTTGCGGTGATATCCGCCATGTCGGCTGAGTCTGTTTGAGTTCGGAGATGGGCCGGATAGTCGTTGTGGAGCGCGCTCGTTGTGCATATGGAACGCGAACGTGTTTGCTATCGCGTTCTCCCGACAACCGAACTAGGCGCCGACATCACCGACTTCCGCATTCGTGTCAATGCACGCGACCATGCAACGTCTCGCATACTGTGCTCGCACATGCACATCCATGGATGATTCGCGATTGACGTCAGCCATCTATGAATCGTACAGCCGCTGTGCGCAACACTGCTAGTCTTGCAGGCGTGGCGGGGCTTGTTCTATTCTCCGCTTACATATTGCTTCCCATTGGCGGCATTAGAATGTACGCTTCTTTGCTTTTGGCAGCTCCTTCATTGCCTCGCGCGTGATACTCAGCGCTCTGCTATGCCGCTCAAGGGGGTACTATACGGTGCTATGTTTCTAAACTATAGAGCTGGCCACCTCCAAGCTGAAGCCGTTGCCGCGGCATCTACGAACATCCCCGAGCGTTCTGTCTTCACCGGCAAGCAAAGGCCTAAAAACGCGCGTGGGGTGTAACAAACGTCCATGTGCAGCATGTTCCCCCACCCGCTCGATTGCCAGCCAGCATCTGGGCTGCACAGACAAGAGGAGTAAAGTTTAGTGAGGTAATCGTATCACGGCTGCCCAATAGACAGACCATGGCAGGTCTGCCGCATCCCTCAGCTGCTCCACAGGGCTTCCGAGCTCCGCTCTTGAGCCTCAAACGCCATGGGCATCGGGTATCGAGGTTGGCAATTGTTCCTGGCATACGCCTCTTCTGCCACTTATCTCGACCTCGAAAAGGAAGCATACAGTGCAGCAGCGCACCTCGCAGAGTTCCAGATCCACAGCTCCGGTCCTCGTCTGCAGCCGTTCGGGGCCCTAGCGAACGCCTCGTCACGCGACGGCATGCCGTTCGGAATGTCATCCAGCGTCACCTGTCGCCACGATGCATCTCGAACCAACACATTTGCTTGTCATCGCCCTGGTCTTCCCCGCAATCACCTTGCGTGTATTCAAGCCCCCTTGCAGGTGATCATGCACGACTTCATTTGCTGCGTGAGCCGAAAAATTTGATACATAAAATCGGGAATCTAGTCAGCCTCCCACGCTATCACTGGCCCATCCCACGAATTCTGGGACGTGTATTGCGACTTTACCTGTGCGTTGGCCAACGACGCTCAAAGCGATACCCGAAAGAACAATCGCGCCAACTGCGTTTAGACTGAGATATCTCTCCCCGCTCTCACTGTGCTTGCCGTCCGGCTTCTAGATCCACAAAATGCGTACGGCAGCCTTGCTACTATTCTCTCATCTCCTCTTCCCTCACCCTAGTTCGGTAAATGCGCCCTGATCGATATTTAGTGGAGGCGGGTTCGACTTTTAGTTTCATCAACCGCCCCAACAACTGATTGCATCTTCTTCTCTTCTTCGCTGTTGATTTGTCATGTTTCGCCAGCCAGCAGCGCGACTGAGGCAAATAGTCTCACCTTTGCTCAAGCGAGGAGGCGCTCGAGCACGTACCGGACGCGAGCAGACATTCAGATCCGAACATTCTCAACGGCCATTTTGGAACTCAGGAAGGGTCTTGCTGTTTTCTGCTGTCACCGGCACAACTACGTACTTCTATGGCGCCAACGATGAACCTCACAGGATTCAAATGCCATGGCTCAAGTCCTCAGGACCCCAATATGCGTCCAAACACGAGATGGAGAAGGTAGGCTCGCGAGTCGTGCAAAGGTTCGCACGCATCAGTCACTTACCTGGATGCAGGCAATTGAAGAATTAAGGACAACACTTGGAGAAGATGCGATTAGTACCGATGACGAAGATTTGCACAGACATGGATACTCGGAATGGTCGTCCATTAACATCGACCAGCTCCCAGTTGCGGTGGCTTACCCAAAATCTACGGAAGAGTGTGCCTCGATCGCCAAGGTCTGCTACAAATACAAGATACCCATGAGTATGTTTACGAGGATAGACGAAGAGATGGGTGTTGATAGCGTACAGTTCCCTATTCTGGAGGATCAAGCCTTGAGGCCAACTTCTCGGCTCCGTTTGGCGGAATGAGCATCGACTTCTCCTTCATGGACCAGATAGTGGCCTTGCACGAAGATGAGTAAGTGCAGAATTCGCTCAGCATATCAAATCTACGATACTAACGTAGCCTGTAGTATGGATGTCGTAGTTCAGCCTTCGGTACCCTGGATGAGTCTCAACGACCAGATCAAAGACTCAGGTCTGTTCTTTCCAGTTGACCCCGGTCCATCGGTACGTTCTCATGTGTTACACGACTTCGCGACCAACAAGCGGAAATCCCAAAGCGGAAATCCGAACCTATGTTAACGGACGTGGCAGGCTCGAATTGGAGGCATGGTTGGTACAAGCTGCAGGTGAGGTCGCCGACTGCTGGCGACATGGTTTCTATAGCTAACGTCACAGTGGGACTAACGCGGTGCGATACGGCACGATGAAGGATTGGGTCATCAATCTGACCGTTGTCCTCGCGGACGGCACAATCATCAAAACAAGACGCAGGCCTAGGTATGCAAGATGATTACAATTTCCGATATGAGAATGACTAAAAGTCTCTAGAAAATCGTCTGCCGGTTACAATCTTACCAACCTCTTCGTTGGCTCCGAAGGAACACTGGGCATAGTGACGGAAATCACTTTGAAACTCGCTGTAGTGCCCCAAGAAACCAGTGTCGCAGTTGTGACTTTCCCCACGATTCGAGATGCCGCAGCAGCAGCTTCCAAGGTGTTGCGCGCTGGAATACCAGTAGCTGCGATGGAAATCATGGACGACGTGCAAATGGGGGTGATCAACAAAGCCGGATCAACGACCAAGAAATGGAAAGAATTACCGACCATGTTCTTCAAGTAAGTCGTCAAGATAACCGTTTGACATGTGAAAGCATGAACTAAGAGCCGCACACAGATTCTCGGGAACCAAGGCAGGGGTATGTCAGCCCTATGCGGCCTGCATTTACCCAGAATGAAACTGACTGCATGTAGGTACAAGAGAACATTGAGCTGGTGAAGTCCATTTCGAGGAAACACAAAAGCGGAGATTTTGAGTTTGCTGTCAGCGCCGAGGAGCAGAAGACACTATGGTCGGCGCGCAAGGAGTCTTTGTGGAGCATGTTGGCGCTCCGTCGCGAAGGTGACGAGGTGTGGTCAACGGATGTCGCGGTGCCTATTTCCAGACTGCCCGACATTATCGGTGTGTTGTCACGCTAAGCTTAATATTGAAGCGGGTTTGCTGATTTGTCGACAGAAATCTCCAAGAAGGAAATGGACGACCTCGGCCTTTTCGCGAGCATCCTAGGTCACATTGGAGACGGCAACTTCCACGAAAGCATCATGTACAACAGCAAGGACCCCAAAGAGCGAGCAGCTGTGGAGAAATGCGTCCACGACATGGTCGACCGTGCGCTTGAGATGGAGGGCACATGTACCGGCGAGCACGGCATTGGGTTGGGAAAGAAAGCATCACTGGAAAAGGAGCTTGGCCTAGACACCATCAACGTGATGAGAAGCATCAAGGGCGCATTGGATCCGTACTGGCTCATGAACCCAGGAAAGATCATGGACGCTCAGGCGTAGAGTTGCATACTGACACGGCACTTTCTTCTCGTTCTGGTTCCTTGGGGAGCATCCATGGGGAGGATGTCTGACATTTTGGTGCATCTGTTAGGGCATACATAGATTTCTCAGCATCTCAATCATTGAGTACCATTCTGGTTTGGTAATGAAAAAGTACGATTTGCGGCAAAGAGATGACTGTTCAAGATAGATGACTGTTCAAGATGCTCGCGCGCATGGAGACCTCCGTGATCGGCTGGCGTCGCGTTTTCCACCCCACTCCCTGCGTCATACCTGAACTTTATGAACTCCATTGACTCAATTCCTCAACACCAACAACCACCACAATGGACGCTGAAAAGTTTACATCTCAAAGCAAGAGCTTTCCCAAGAAGAAGTGCGGTCAGTGTAGTTTCTCATTTGAGAGATTATTGACTAACTAAATTGCAGGTGTGCTCGGCGCGACTGGCTCGGTCGGCCAGCGCTTCATCCTTCTTCTGGCACTACACCCACACTTTGAACTACACGCTGTTGGAGCATCTGAGCGGTCAGCTGGCAAGAAGTACAAGGATGCCGTCAAGTGGAAGCAGGCGCTGCCTTTCTCCGAGCGCATTGGAGAATTGGTGGTGAAGAAATGCACACCTGAAGAGTTCAAGGACTGTGACATGGTCTTCTCTGGACTCGACAGCGATGTCGCCGGAGACGTCGGTAAGTAAACGCGCATGCGCTCAGAGTAAGAAAGATTTCTGACGCATTGTAGAAATGGCCTTCCTCAAGTCCGAACTGGCCGTCTTCTCCAACGCAAAGAACTACCGCCGTGATCCTCTCGTACCGCTCGTCGTTCCCACCGTGAACCTCCCACATCTCGACGTCATCAAGCACCAGAGACAACATCACAAGCTGGAGAAGGGCTTCCTTGTCTGCAACTCGAACTGCGCAGTCATCGGTCTCGTCATACCGTTCGCAGCACTACAAGCCAAGTTCGGTCCCATAGATCAAGTCTCAGTCGTCACAATGCAGGCCGTATCTGGCGCTGGCTACCCCGGCGTAAGCAGCATGGACATCATCGACAACGTCGTGCCCTTTATATCAGGCGAGGAAGACAAGCTCGAGACGGAGGCATCCAAGATCCTCGGCAGCGTCAACGACGACGTCACAGGATTCGTAGACCAGCCTATGAAGGTCTCCGCAGCATGCAACCGCGTACCAGTACTTGACGGACACACTGCATGCGTATCGCTACGCTTCCAACGCCGCCCGGCACCCAGCGCGGAGGAGGTCAAGCAGGCAATGCGCGAGTATGTGTCTGATGCGCAAAAATTGGGTTGCCCATCAGCGCCTGCAAAGGCTATTGTGGTCATGGACGAGGCGGATAGGCCGCAGCCAAGACTAGATAGAGAGACAGATCGGGGATATGCTGTTAGTGTAGGTAGGATAAGGGAGGATGAGGCGGGCATCTTTGATCTCAAGTTCGTCGCACTTAGCCACAACAGTAAGTCTGACTTGCACCTGAAGGTATCAGGGACATTGCTAACTAGTCGCAGCTGTCATTGGAGCGGCAGGATCGTCGATATTGAACGCAGAAGCGGCGGTACTGAAGGGCTATGCCTAGTGTCGATACAAAAAGATATAATTCAGACCAGGAAAAGTTCAATCGCATGTCTCCAAAAGTTGAGAAGTGCCTAACGATCAATTGCTTTTTCAACATGATGTGAGATGAGACGTCAATGATACTGTTTCGTACCACAAAAAGCTGCCATCGTGATGCAGAGGGATGCAGAGGGATGCACCGATATTGCGCTGTAGCTCAGCTAATATGATACGGCATTTTCCATTTGTTCTGGTAGACGAGTCTTTGTGAATGTTGCGCTGCGCTATATCGAAGAGAGAAGCTAAACATCTCTTTAGAGCAGAGCACTCCTTCCTACTACAGCAAGGCGTATTAAGAGCTATGTAGACATAAGAGCTGTGTAGACATAATGGAGAACCTAGAAGTCAGCAATATTATTAATTTTTACGAGTTTTGTTGTTAGATGCTAATGTACACTGTAAGGTAGGGCTCGTGTTGGTGATGCGGCAATGGCAGGCGCGCCGGACTTGGTGGCGCTAGCCTCTCGCCTAACACTAGCGTGCGTGAGCAAATATCGCACACTGGATCTTCAGATCTCAAGACAGGAATCCGACAACCTCGACGACTAACCTCACACAACAGTCAAAATGGCCCGTGGACCCGTCAAGCACCAGAAGCGCCTCAGCGCGCCCTCGCACTGGCTCCTGGACAAGCTGTCCGGTACGCGCAACTCCTGCAATCGACGCAAAATGCGACATCGCGAGATCAAAACTGACATGTTGCAGGTGCCTACGCTCCCAAGGCCTCCCCCGGTCCTCACAAGCTCCGCGACTCCCTTCCTTTGATCATCTTCCTCCGCAACCGCTTGAAGTATGCGCTCAACGCCCGCGAGGTCAACGCCATTCTCATGCAGCGTCTGGTCAAGGTCGACGGCAAGGTCCGCACCGACTCCACCTTCCCCTCCGGTTTGATGGATGTCATCTCCATTGAGAAGACTGGCGAGAACTTCCGCCTGATCTACGACACCAAGGGCCGCTTCACCGTCCACAGGATCACAGACGAGGAGGCACAATACAAGCTCGGCAAGGTCAAGCGCGTCCAGCTTGGCAAGGGCGGAATTCCCTACTTGGTTACGCACGATGCGCGAACGTAAGTTCCCGCTCTATCAGCCGTTGGACCACAGTTTGGGCTAGGTGTCTGAGGGAAACCTCTTTCACCAGGCATAAGACCAGGGTCTGGCTATGTCAGAATTGCTGCTAAAATTTTTGTGTAGAATCCGCTACCCCGACCCCGCCATCAAGGTCAACGACACCGTCAAGGTCGACCTCGCCACTGGCAAGATCACCGACTTCATCAAGTTCGACACTGGTGTCATTGTCATGGTTACCGGTGGTCGTAACATGGGTCGTGTCGGTGTCATCACTCACCGTGAGCGCCACGACGGAGGCTTCAACATTGTCCACTTGAAGGATGCCGTTGACAACGAGTTCACCACTCGTGAGTCCAACGTTATCATCATCGGAAAGGAGAAGCCATGGATCTCTCTGCCCAAGGGTAAGGGTGTCAAGCTCTCCATTGCTGAGGAGCGTGACCGCCGTAGGGCTTACGCCATCGCTCACTAAACGTGTGGCGGGCGTAGTTGTAGGTTAGCATATGAAGTACCCATGAGTTCATGACCATAGGTGCAGGACTCGGATCCTAAAATTAAGGCGTTCGTGATCACCTATGGGGAGGTTGATCGGATCTGGCGTATCTGCATTTCCATACGAATACCATGTGAGGTCTGAGAATCAAGCAAATAAACACTTCCATCTTCCCCAATAAAATGCTTTGAATGGACATGCTATATGTGGAGTCGTGCAGGCTTTATGACGGCTCGGGTCGCCTTATTACACGGTAGGGGGTTGAAGGCGAAAGACTTCAGACAAAGAGGATCTCGCGTGGAATGCGATAAGTGTGGTGATATAGGTTGGTGGCGTTTGGCTGATCCTTTTTTCCTGGGATCAGGCTGGGGTCGATAGGAGGGCGCTATGTTTGTGCACTGTTTCGAGCAGATAAGGCATTGCAATGTATAGAGCCGCAACGTCGACAAAAGCAAATTCATGCCTACGATGGGTGGTGGTGTTGATGCTCGCTGCGCTGCCTCAGAACTAGGAAGATGAGCGTCTGTGTGTTTCAGGCGTTTGGCAGCCTCGTCTGAACGACAAGGACACAAGAGGCTGGCGTTGTGTGTACCTGGAAGATGACAGTGGGGCGTGCGACTAGCGAAATGAGACGATAGATATCCTTGTCATAATACTCGGGAGAGCAGCGTGGACGCGCGTGGGACTCCGACTGAGGCTCCGAAGACAAGCAGAGTCGCAGGGTAAGACACGGTTGCTGCGCGGGCCAGGGGCGTGACACGATGGCCTGGTCGTGGTGAAAGAAAAATAGCGCCGTCGAGCGATTCCTCCAACAAGCATACATCCACTGCGAGACTTGGTCGACGTCTGCTGCAACAAGGTGTCAATGGCTCGATAGTGTGCCGCCTTGCTACCAAGTTTATTGCAGCGACTAGCCTGGCATAGCTCCAACGTTCGCTCCGTCGCGCAATTCACGTCCGCCATTGGCTGCGCGTCCGCTCGTTACTTGCGCTGCTGCAGCACCGTCTGTCGCTCCTGCCTCCAGCTCCGCCCACCACCTGCCCCCTCGAGCCCACCACGCTTCCCCGCAACCCCCAAACAGCCCAGCGAAGGCCAACGCGGACCAGCTGTGTGCCGTATCGCGGCCTCTGCCACTGTCGCATACACGCTTCGAGGTACCAATGACACAGCAGGCATAACCTGTGTAACCTCACTCGTCGCTCGTTTCACGTCGGGAGAAAGAGTCGCGCCCCAGGCACGTTTACGACTGCGCCCACTGCCACGCCACGAGCCGGCAGACCGTCTGCTCCTTCACACTCTGGTTCTCCAACACCACGCCGTCGCATCTCGAGAGCCGGTCTCTGGCGAGCCGGAATTCCACGCCCTAGACTCTGCTATCCTTCGCCGTCATGTTGCGCCCTGCGACCCCCTTGTCCATACTATTCTTCGTCGCATTCGTGCTGCTGCTGCTCTCGACGCTGTCGACGCCCCTCATCAAGAGCATTCCCCTCGCTACCTATCGCGGTGTTCACTTTGGAGTCCTCGGCTACTGCGAGAATGGCGACCAAGGCTGCAAAGGGCCCATGATCGGGTACAACACAGGTATGGCTTTATATATATATATATCGTATATATGCGACCAAGACGCTGACAGTTGGAAACAGAGAAGCTATTTGCAGGCGAAGACAGCTCCGACTTCTCCCTCCCATCCGCCCAGCGCCATGCGCTTTCTTCCATCCTCATCGTGCACCCCGTCGCAGCTCTCATGACGCTGATATGCTTCGGTCTCTCTGTTGCTGCCCACTTTCACTCGCCCGCCCATTCGCCGCGCTACCTCCTCGCCCTGCTCATATTCACGTTTCCGACTCTTCTGGTCTCACTGCTCGCTTTCCTCGTTGATATCTTGCTATTCGTTCCGCACGTAGGATGGGGAGGATGGATTGTGCTAGGTGCTACCATCATTATCGTCGCAAGCGGAATCGTCACCTGTGCGATGAGGCGCACACTGGTCAGCCGCAAGGCGCGTAAGAGGCGCATCGCCGAGAACGACGACATGAACGGCCAAACCTACTACGCGAACCGCAACAATGCAACCGTCACTACCGAGTTTCCCAAGGCCGAATCACCGCCTCCTCTTTCTGGTGAGACAATGACTGGCGGCATGGCAGGCGGCAATGCGGCCTACTTTGATTCCTCCAAGCCATCGCCCAACGACGACATGCAGCCTCTGAACCAGCGCAACCCTTCGCTCAAGACGGTTAGCAGTGGAGGAGATCGCTCTGAGAACATGAACCCACCAAATCGTGGCCCCTCTGGTCGTCGACAGCCAATGGACCAGTACGGCAACCCTGTTCCACCCATGCCAAACGACGGATTCGCCATGATGAACGGTGCTCCGCGCGGAAGAGGAGGTCCAATGAGGGGTCGTGGAGGTCCACCAAGAGGCGGGCAGTATGGTGGCCCAAGGGGAGGAGGCTACGGTCCAAGAGGAGGCATGCGAGGACCTCCACCACCAGGATGGAACGGTGGCGGACGAGGTGGACGACCTCCGAATGGACCTCCGATGCAAGGTCAGCCGCCAATGGGTCGCGGAGCGCCTCCTCCAGGATACAACAACAACAACAACAACAACAACTTTTACAACCAAGGACCACCACCCCGTGAGCAATCACCATATGGCAGAGCACCTCCGCCTGGTCAGGGACCACCACTGCCAATTGGCCAAGCCATTGAGATGGACAACCGTACAGGAACGCCTCCAACAAACTATGGATTGAGGGAAAGTGACGGCGACGTTGCAGGCATGCTCGCTCTTCAACAGGGTGGCTTCCCTGCTGGTGCACCCCAGAGGCGGCCATCTGATGGGGTCATGAGCCCAACCAGCGAATATTCCACCGAGTGAGTACTACGTATCTTCGAGTTCAGTGTATTTTGTTAACGTTCAACAGTGAATCCGCATTACGGCCACAACCCCTACAACAACAACAGCCGCCTATGCCACAGCAACAGCAGCAATACATGCCAGTGCGAGCAGGATGGAATCAACAACAGATTCCATCAGATCAAACAGTCAACACTTTGAACAGCAGTAGCCGTGGCCTATCACCAATTCAAGACTCACCTGTTGAAATGCCTGCTCAGCTATCCCAGTTCGGTAGGCCCAACAGGCCAGAACGCAGTTCCGACTACTATGAAGATGTGGATCCCAGGTTCGCAGAGCCCGCACAAGCTCAAGCACCTCCACCACTACCGAGCTCTCTCATGCCCGGTGGTTTCGCTCCACCCAACCCCAACTTCCTCTCAACAACAAACTCCAGCGACACCAATCTCCCACGCAACAGTTCCTACGACGACCTTCCAGAAGGCGCGCGCTCACCCGCCGCGAGTGAAGCCTCACACTTCACCTCCGTCTCACAACGTCCTGTCAACCCCAACTGGCGACCCGAGATGGGTGCTGCAGCTGGTCAATTTGCGCCCTTCCCAGGCCCACGTAGACCCATGCGACAGGAAGACGTCATCCTTGAAGCCAACGCTGCTAACCCCGACTTTATGATTCCTGGTGCGGGTCGCGGTCGCGGTCGAGGACGTGGGGGCCCTGTTGGTAGCAGAGGAAGAGGCGGTGGAGGCATGATGA